CCTGATTTTCATGCTTCGAGTGCCGCTGGATATTTTTAATTACACACCTGTGTTCGTAGAATAGTTTCGATGGACAGAGAAAGAGAGAGAGAGCCTTATAAGTAGAATCCTACGGGAACGAGAGAGAATAGCCGGTGACGACGACTACGTTTCATTACAAGAAGAGATTTAATGGTAACTGGCCGACCTTGCACTCGGAAGGCGATCATGCGAGGTCTTCGTAAGTGTGTCAAACGGGATGAAACGACGGGGAGCTCGACGACGAGGTCCTCGAGATTCTACCGTTAAACGATGAACTCCTTTACCTTCCGCTTTCCTCACTCTTCTGGCTTTCCCCCGTGCGTAAACACCTCCCCTCCCCTCCCTTAATCTGTCTTCTCGATTGATTGACGGTTACTTTACATCGTGACCGTCGATCTTTTAACTGTTAATCTTTTCCAGATCCTCGCTAAAAATGAGTCACCTTTACAATTCATTTGCATAACCTGTGAAAAATGGCTGGTGTGCGTGGGCGATAAATGATGGGAAAGAAAGAAAAAAAGAATTGACATTAGCTTGCTTTATTCAAGCATGACGAAACATTGTAGAGATATACAAATATTTAACGTTGCATATCGCATAGAACGAGGAAGTATCGCGTGACTAAATGCGGTTATAAAAAATCGATCGGATGTTGCGGCTTAATCTTCCTTAAGGTCATTACGAGCCTGTTCTCGGTCAGGAGTAACGTGTATCTTGCTCAGCAGGGTCGTGCAATCTTCCTCGAGTCAGTAAAAAAAAAAAACAACACTTCAAAATGAATTTACACTCAAGAGAGAGAAAAAAAAAGAATTTTCTTCGAGACTCGGTCGAAAAAGTGGAACTGCCTCGATTATCATTCGTTAGTATTATTCATACGTTTCTGCCCGTAGCGGTATATCTCTGATGTGCTAAAAAGAAAAAACGATACGATACGTATGCACGTATGCATACACACGCACACGCGTACATCGGAAAAATACACAAACACATGTATCCATTATAAAAGTGTATGTAATATCGCTGATAGACTCTGCTGCTGTGTGTGAACCGCGTATTCGCTCATTTACCGTATGCTGTGCATTATACAGCAACCTGCCCGATGACGTGTTGTATCCGTGAGTATTATTCCCTTCCTTTTTTTTCTTTTTTTTTTTCTCTCTTCCATTTATCCTCCTCTGTTGCTGTCTATGTCCAAGTATATTCTAATCGCGTGTACATTGCAGGTAGAAAATACACACTCGACGGAACTTCGAAAACCGTTGAGAACGTTTTGTATAGACGTAAGCTGGTGTTGCTTCGTCGGTCAAGTTTGAAACGGGAATCCCGCGTAGGTGCACTAGTGCGCGGAGAAACGTGCTTATTTCAGAAGAAATCAGGAATTTGCTTCGGTCAACTGCCAGCCACGAGTCTCATATCCAGCCTTTATGCATTTTGGATAACTTACCATGCGAAAATAATCCTGTGCGACGTTATATTCCCCGCGACTTTGATGGTCAGAAAGAATAATACGTGTACACGGTGTTTCGATAGGTCGGTGTGAAATTGATGTAGCGCATTCGGGAGATGAAATGGATGAATAAAGTTCCTACGAACATATATCCGAAAATGATTTGTTAAAGAGTTACAAGGGATACAAGAATTGTTGTTTTAATAAATCATTCTCCATCCATTTGACCTCTTGAATACGCTTATCAATTTGCCCCAATCTTTTGAAACGTCCTGTAAATACTGTACGATTGCTCTATTACAAACGAATTTTCGTGCAGTCAGGAGAGAAAGGAAGCAATAGGTATATACTAGGCGGTCGAGCGAGAGATTGCACTTGCGTTCAAAGATGAAAGACGTTGCTCGACGCTTCGTGACATTTGATCAAGCGTCAACGCTTTCCATGCACTGATATTTGATGACACGGATACCTTCGGCGATTTCCAAAGTTGATTGAACTCTTGTTGATCAATTCGTTCTCGTTATTTATCGTCTATTCGACGTATAATTATTCTATTACGTAATTGTTAATTAGCATTGTCGAATCTGCAACTCATTTTTTTTTTTTAAAGAAACACGGAACTGACCAAGCGCAAAATTGCCGCGTTCTCTGGCCTTGGCCAAAAAGTTGTCGAGCTTGGCACACACAAGAGGACGGGGGCATGACTTGCTCTCGCATCGTTCGCTCTTAAAACTTGGAGGTCAGGCTTACGTCATTGCAAAAAGAAAAACGAAATAATCAGCCTGCGCTCGAATCGATTCCTATTTCTCCGTGGAAATCACGTTACACCGGCGGTGGTTGCCGAGAAATTTAATTTTCAACAGCTAAAATACACACCGACTATCGCGTAGGAATGAAACGATTGTTGAAACGGAGTGAAAATAGATAGGACGCCTTTGGTAGAAACTGGCAACATGCCAACGTTCAATTTACTCAAATTGCACCGATACTGGATGCTACTTGTTGCGATTCCTTTCACATTTTTTTTCTTCTTCGTAGTTGAGATAGGTATAAAAATTGGAGAAGTAAATGTTCCTATAGTTAGACGTGTTGCAGCGTGAGAGTTAGCGCAGAGTGTGACAGGAACGCGGTTTTCACTCTTTAACAAGCTTAAAATAAAACCCATTTCTTTTCATAGCTGTGCGACGTAAAGCTTCTAAGCGTATCTTCGAGTAAGAAAGAAAGCAGGGTGCGTCATCGAGGGGAATAAATAAACCGTGACATCGAGAAGATGAGAGCGGAGCGAGTGATACTGTCAATTTGCTCGATCAACTGGAGAAAAACAGATATAGTTTCGTGTTTGCCGCGCTTGACGGATTCTTGACCGTTCTATTTTTAACGAAAGAACGTCGTACAGACGGCGAAAGTTGATGTTCTTAATTAACACTAGGTAAGCTGACGTTGTCAATGTATTTTTACAGGCATCCACGATCGATGGTCGTCGAAAGGGCGCCTGCCTCTTCTGCCAAGAGTACTTTATGGATTTGTATCTACTCGCCGAGCTGAAGACGATCTCCCTAAAAGTGACCACCGTGGACATGCAGAAACCACCGCCAGATTTTCGTACCAATTTTCAAGCAACACCACCGCCAATATTAATCGACAACGGCGACGCAATACTGGAGAATGAGAAAATTGAACGGCACATTATGAAGAACATTCCCGGTGGGCACAATCTCTTCGTGCAGGACAAAGAAGTGGCTACCCTCGTTGAGAACTTGTTCAGTGTATGTATAAGTACTAAAGCCGTCTTGCACGAGAAACTGCTACTTTCTCGCCCAACACTCTCGAGTACACGTGGAATTTTCTGTTCTAGAAATTGAAACTGTTACTATTGAACGCGAAGGACAAGGACAAAGATCCAAAATCCTCGTCCCTGATGGCACATTTGCGTAAAATTGACGAGCATCTAGGTCGCAAAGGCACGCGTTTCCTCACAGGTGATACCATGTGCTGTTTCGACTGTGAGCTTATGCCACGACTCCAACACATCAGGGTGGCCGGCAAATACTTTGCGGACTTCGAGATCCCAGAAACTCTAGTGCATCTCTGGCGATATATGCACCATATGTACAGGCTGGACGCCTTTCTACAAAGTTGCCCAGCTGACCAGGATATTATCAACCATTATAAGTTACAACAGGTGGGGCTAATTTTGGAGAGACCAGATGTTGTTTGTCTTTCTACGTTCATTATCCAATGATGCTTTATTGAAAGATCACATTGTCGTGTTACAGAGCATGAAAATGAAGAAGCACGAAGAGTTAGAGACTCCAACCTTCACCACCAGTATCCCAATCGAGGTGAACGACGACTAGGCTGGACCTCTGCCGTCGGGTCTACGATCTCGTTACTTTGATGCAGAAAAATCGTCGACATCGGTCTGTGGACACGAGCGGTGTGAACATGATGGCAGTAAATGTTTTCTATGAAAGTTACAGTTCTTCCTAACGAATGATTTTGTGCAGAACGAGTCTGTTATTTATAAAAATTATTCAGAGTCTGAGTACTCTGTAAAACAAAATGTTTCCATCATCTAGGTTTGACCGTGTCGATGCTGCTACGCCGATTCTTAATAACAATTTTGCTACGTATATTTGATAAATTATCGTCGACACTCTTTTATGGCCTAAATCGATGCAGAACAAGTAGCTTTTTTACCGCAGGAGACAGGAGGAGAAGGATATACGTTTATAAGTGTATTAGGGCTTTCAAAAACGAGCTGTATGCGTGTCCAGAAAACTTATACAATTTTTCCTTTCCTTTCCCCTATCTTCCTATTTTCTTTTTTTCTTTGTTTTTCTGTGCTACGTACGAGTACCGTACGTAGTTTTCATTTGAGTAGAATTATTCTTAGAAAAGGTATTTTAATCTTTTACGTATACCTTAGATCAAAATTGTGTATTTTTTTAAGAAGCAAGGTCTTTCTACATCTTTCAATGACAAGTGATGTAACAAAGTAGAAAATGCAAAAGGGACGTATGCATTTAAATTACAATTAACGATGAATTGTTATATTAATATATTTCTTTTTCGTTTCTTCTCTACTTTTCTTTTCTGGAAATTGCATTGTATTTATCATGCATCTAAAAACTAATCAATAAACTGATTTATTGATGGTTACTCTTCAACGACCATTCACACTATCCATATATCCCTTAATCGTATCGACCTATCTGAATAAGAGGAGGTATTCTAGTCTAATGTACTACGTATAACGTTAAAATTTCGAACAATTCCTGTCCATTTTTCTTACGACGCGATAGGATTGTAAAAAAAAATCCTAGTGCATACGTTTCTTCCAAGTTCTACGTTTAATTACAATATCTCTTTAAGGTTATAATTTTTCTGCATAATTTCGATGGCGTGAGGAATTTCATATGTTGTTATATGGTTATTACCAACTTCTTTACAGATGCTGATTTTATAAAGATGGAAAAATCGTCGTTTGGAAACAGACAATGCTTACATTTTATTAATACAAGTTCAACGACCTAACAAACGATATTTTCGTATTAATAATTGTATTATTATTATATTATAAATGATTATTATTACTATTATTGTATTATTTTGGTTTATACTTGTAGAAATGAATATATCAGTATTTACATTGACTTGTAGGTTCGTAGATATTTTTGGCGCCATTTTACTTATTTCCAAGAGTAATACGAGCAGCGCAGTTGCTGCAGATTGAAGGATATTATACAGCAAAATCCGATAAAAACGAAAAGGAATATGACTATCTTAACGACGTCGTTGTCCATTCGTGTGAGTTTTAAAATAGCACGCGGTTCCCCTTCCTTGTCACTGCGACTAACTATTACGACGTGTCTTCCATTCATAAATAGGGAAGCACTTGTCATATGGCAGCCATCTTGACTACGTGATCAATAGAGTTTATTTTATTTTGATCCAGGGAAATATAAACTTCCGTTTGGATTGACGATAATGGATAAATAATAAATTAAACGAAAATATTTAAAAGTTCTGTAAATATTTTTTATAAATAAGCAGTATTCGAAAGTATATAGTTTTTCTATTGATTACTGTCGTTTTAGTACGCAGTGCACAGCTGATCAGTGGTCCCAACGGACGGTCGCCGCTTGTTCGTGCTTTGAAATCTTCGAAAACGACAGAAAAGTTATTGTTAACTGCGTGACTGTATAGTGACAGTTGAAATTTCACTCTTCAGCACGTGATTAAAGTTGCGCCGTTTACAAAGTGTCTTTATCAAGTGTTCGAAGTGAGCGGTTACTATTCCTTGTTCGTTGGACATTTCCAATGGTTGCCGTCCGGTAAGTATCAAGCATACGATTTAAAACCGGATTATGCGCTTAGGCAATATCATTAAAATTCAACTTGACTTTTGAACATTCTTCGATTGTCCAACTTTTCCTGGTACTAACATTATAAAGACTATAAAAACAGGGAAAGGTGAAATATAATCTGACTTTTCGTTGTGTTTTCTCCACGCGACATGAAGTACTTATGTACATATATCTGCTGCGTCGGAATGCATTAGAAATTGCAGTGCAGTAACGGTGCATTTCTTCGTACGTAGACGATACTTATTATTTTGAAAGATTTCTTTGAATTTTTTCCTATCTTTGTCGCATCTCTTTGTTGGATACCGACGCCGATTTCTAAATTGTGTTATCGTTGTACAGTAAGGTAGTACAAGATTAAATCTTTTTCAACATGTATTTCACCAAATACAGATTATCGTCGATAGGGATTAACGTGATTTTTATTATCGACTGATGTAACACGCGCGGGAGTAAAGTGCATTTCGTCAGACTTTCATATCTCTTTACCTATCGCGTTTCTTACATTTGCGTACATTGTCACGAAAGCCTCCAGTAAACTACATTTTTCTTATCTCGTCTGAAAACAAGGAAAACTTGCTTCTTCGTTCAACAAGACGCCTATAGGTATTCTCAAAAGTGAAGAACCGTTATAGTTCTATTTTTTTCAAGCGTGTCATAGACATAAGAGGAACCAGGGTCAATTGATGCTACGAATTCTAATCTTCGCCGACGATTTTAGCCGCTCTGACGTGCCACGCGATTTGAAAACTACGCTAGTCAATAGGAAAGTCCGATACAATATCCATAAACGTAAACACCATACCTCGTTCCCTAATACGTGTCGTGTAAATAAAAAAAAAATCGACAGATAATGTTTATCCATAGCGATATACCGTGTGCTTCAAGTTATGTAATCGGTCGTTTATCACCATTCAGCCGCTACCGTTTGTAATTCGATATAATTGGTCGATGTTAATTGTACGGAAAAGAAAATGGTGGCATATTTCGACCTACCGGTCGAAAATCAAATTTTTTGGCACATGCGGAACCGGATTTAAAGGTCAACGATATTTATAATAGCGTGAAAGAGCTGTTTAGAGTTAATAACGAGCTGGACGAGGACACGTGAATTATCGGTATCATAAAGAACTAACTTCGCGTCCTATGTTACGCGTATACACATAAAGTCACGTTCACACTGCTGACAATTATATCGCGTCTTTGTATCGTTATTATTATTACGACTAACAATAAACGATAATATTTCGAGTGGATTACAAGTGACGGAAGAACGAAGTGTAAAATGAAAAGAGTCGCAGATAAAGTGGGGAAAAGAAATTGGAAGTATCTGATTGGTGGTTCGAAAAGGTCTACGTAGTGGTCACGCTGACGTTTCCTACGCGAAAAAAGTGTAACATTATTTTCAGGATAGTGTTTATTTTTGCCGCGAGGCGTAACTTATCGTAGCTCTGCTTAACGTTAGCGTTGCGTCCCTCGTCAATTATTATTCTTGGTTCCTTATTTTTGTCTGCCACTGTGAAGCCTCGACGCACCTTTTCTTCTCTTTTCTTTTTTTCTCTTCTCTCGTTTCTTTCTCACTGTAGTTTCAGTCGTCCACGATTGCCCTGTTTTCATGCAGTTGTGAAATATCGCGTGTAAAACGACGAGTTACAGGTGCTGGCTTGGTGGTAATTTGCATTTCTCGCTGCCGTGACTGGAAATGTAAATAATTTCGCGAGCGATCGTTTCTTTAAACGACGTTCATTCTTCTAATCGTCCATTTCGCCAAGTTCGTTGTTAATTTCAACGTCACTTCCGGCCGATAGACCAGTTAGCCTTGCGAAGCAACAGGTGCCCGCGAAATTTGAACAGAACGATTTTCTACCTTTCGTTCGATCGCAGTGAAAAGTGTGTATCTGGAATTTCTCCTCGATTTATACGTTGTCGGTGTTGAATCGTAGAATCGATCGCTTACTCTGTACGCGATATTTGCAGGTTTTCGAAAGACTTTGGAACGTTCTCAACGAGCTACCTAGCACAGGAGTATCAGTGGCGTTTTAAAAAGAAGCGTGGAAAATTATTCCAAATGCGTGAAAATACTCGTGGAATTTGCTTTTCCCCGCATTGCCAGGAGTAGACGAAAACAGCCACGCTGTGTCTCCTGGGTATTTCATGACACAAATATCTTCCCGGCATGTTGGAATTCCGCTTTTCCTTTTTCGCCTGTCCCGACGAACCACGTTCTTCGTCCCCCCTCTTGAAATCTCCTCTGTGTCACTGATAGAAACATCCTGCGTGTCTCTGGTGCAATTAAAACACTCTTCTCTCCTTTGCTCGAAGCCGAAGAAAAATAAAAGAAAAGAAACCACTACGACGACCCGTCCTATCTGCCGGGTTACATTTCAGATCACCGCGGTCATAAGACGTTCGTTCGATCGGCACGTGTCTCGCGCGTATTTTCCACCGATGCGAATTTCTCTTTGGCAAAGGTAAGCGAGTTCGAGGGAGCGAAACGAATTCGAGCCCGCTGTTGCGTTTCCGCAAGTCCTGCCCACACGCGTTTATTTGCATTTTCGTCATTTGAGAAACACCCTTTTCGTCAGATACCGAAAGATACTCCCTAACCTCATGTCCTAACTGTGCAAGACGAGTCAACTCGTCGATGGTTAGCCAATACTTGGAACGCGATCGTTTATTTATTTACCAATAATCCATCGTATTCGCGTTTGCAAGAACGACAAAAAAATAGTAATTTTAGTTACAAACTAGAGAGATTTAATTTTTATTTTAAATAGGAGCACAGTTAACAGGTTAAGCCCTTTAGCTACGATTAATTCATCCCCTAGAATACGAGCTTAATTGTAATAATTCTTTAATTAAATTGTAATTATTCTTTATTTGCGACTTCACGGTTTCCAACGTAACACGTTGTAGCTAATACGGTAGCTGAAACATCGGATGGTTTTTTCTTAGAGGCACGCTGTAGCTAAAGGGTTAAAAGAAGACGGCCCCGGTTAGGGCGGACGCTCTGTGACCGGTGGCCGCAAGTAACGGGCGCGTGCCAATAAACAGTTTCCCTCTGATTGACGCCTCACTCATGCTGCCAGGTGCTTACCGACGGAAGAAAGAGAGGCGAATTATTAATTCTATCTAGCACTTTATTCTCTCTCGGTGGCCGCGTGCCAAGTGCGAATTGCACTCGCGCACACACTCTTCTTCTTCCATCTTTTCGTAACGAAACACGAACGCACGCACACACGCACACACGTACGCGCGGGTAGTAGCTGTGACTCCGATGGTACGTCGATCTCTGTTTTCTATTCATTTTCAACACCGATCCGAACCGAGCCTCTCTCTCTCTCGTCGAGGTTCTTAAATAGTGAGGGTAAATTTAACGGAAATAAAATCTCCACGATCTCGCAAAGGGAGTCGACGGTAGAAATGAAATCAACGATTGAGCAATTTCTACGAGTGTGGCAGAATTTTTGCCACGGACAATTGATAGATACCCCTTTTTCTTTTTTTTCTTTTTTGGACGATGCACCTGCAGAAACGCAATCGTGCGCATGCGTGCACGCGTGGGAGCGTGGCACGCGCAGTGCCGGCTAATTATGTGGCACTCCTACGTGCCACGCTGCACAGGTGTCCACCGTTTCTTTACTCGCTGCCAATTCCGTAACGTAACGGGTGTCTCGGAGTTATCGACCTTTGAAATTTTGCGAGCCTAGCTGCACCACACCGAAGTCTCTAGCCTTTAGATTACGCGGCGAATCTCCAAGTAAAATCCAACCTTTCCTCTTCCCGTTCTACGTTCAACGTGATCTTCCGCACGATACATCGATCACATCGTATCAACGACCGAATAGAAGGAGTACAAAGAGTGCGATAGTGTAGATTAAAATCAAAGTGAACGATACGAATGTATACACGTGACTGCGAGAAGGTTGTTGAGATTTCTATGGAACACCGGGTACGTATAGAAGACGATAGATGGGCAAATTCGTGCGATTTTCAGGCTGGTTTGAAAAATGGGTCACACAGTCGCAGGATTTAAATAAAGAAGACTCCGCGAGAGTCTCGCTTTCGTTCTTTTTCTCCCCCTTTCTGCCCCTTTCTCCCGTGAAAGTGGGGGTGGTTTTGGCTAGGCGAGTCGAAAGAGGGGAAAAAGAAGGAGAGGGAAATAAATTGGTTCAGGCCCCCGTTGAAGGAAGGAAAAGGTTGAACGGTTTGGAAGTTTGGTGTGGCCTTCGCTACAATTAAGAGGCCGTAACGCACGATCGTGTAATATTTCAATGCGTCTACGACAAGTGAGACGATTTGCCCTCGCGGCAGGTTCCACGGTCTTTTCCTTTTCATTTTCTCACGACTTTGTCTCCATTAATCGCATCCCCGTCCACTCATCCGTGGTTGAATAATTTGCAACACTTTCGCGCACCAACACGAAACCGCACGAAACGTCGTATTTGGAATCGATCCAAATCGTTTATCCACTAAACTACAAAATTTCGACCATTCCGTTCCTCTACGACACGCGTCACTTCGAGAAAACCATCCGACCATGTAGTATATACCAGACTTCTCTCTACACCTAACCCCCGATTTACACTCGATTTACATTCAATCGCCATCGGTCGAGACTTGTACTCTTATTGTTAGAAGAAGAAGAAGAAAAAGAAATATCGAGGATTAGGCGTATTGTACGTTGTTCATTTCACTCGAGAGGTATTTTTTGTCTGTCTTATCCACGACCGACGTTCGTGAAATTAGTCGTGGATGTGATTATTCGTTCATTCGACGAATCATAACGAACTGGTGTAACCGAGAGACCTGGCACCCACAGGTAGGCCTTGCCAGGAGGATGGGGGCCCACGATGGGGGAGTGCCATTGCTCTAACATCGCTATCATGCAGCTGTTCCATGAGCTGAAGCAGCAGTTCCCTGCGCTCCCTGATCACGTCGTTTCCCAGTGCATCGCCCAGGTATAGGTGCTCTTTGTCCACCAGATATACTCTGCTCCTATGCTGGTGTGTCCTGGAGAACTTGATCCAGAATAACGAACGAGTTAGACGAGCCATAGAGAGCAACATTCAAACTTCTCTGTCTCCCTCTCTCTTTCTCTTGATCTCTTCCTCTCTCTCTCTCTCTCTCTCTCTCTCTCTCTCTCGATCTCTGTGAAAGTTAACTCGTTCTATTCGTTGGATCGAGTCTCTTTTGAGAAAGGGCTCTCCCTGATTGCACAGTGTGCTCGTTTAACCAGTTTACAGAGAGATTTCATCGCTAAAAAGAAAAAAAAAAACATCGAGAGATTCACAATAACAACTAATACACATACACAACGAGCATCATAACCCCTCGCATTTAACGAAGCGAATTAACTTGTCTTTTTTCCTTCTCTCATTGCACGAGCGTGGAACCTGTGTGTAAATAGACGTCCTTTGTGTTCGCCATTTGATTTTACCGCATACGGAACGATCGTGTTCTCTTAATCAGCCGACGATTGAGCGCACTAAACAGTAATCTATAATTGTCTTGTACTCGCGTCTTGGGAAGTTCTGAATTTTCCACCCAGAGAAAACGTATCTTTCCGATCCAAAATCTATCTCTCACGGTTGCGATCAAACTAGACCAAGGAAAGTTCAGAACTGTCCAGTACATTTAAGAATATAAGCATCAAAAGCCTGCAGCATTAACCCTTTGCGGTCTTCCCCTTGCCAGCAAACTCAAAACAATTTTCAAGAATACCCTAGGAACTTTAAACGAAACAAAAAAAAAAAAAAAAAGAGAAAAAAACACACATACAAAATAAAAAGCAGGAACAAGTCTCTCCACCGTCGTACCTGGCTAGCCTAATCGGACCGCAAACGGTTAACTCCTCTAGGAAGTATCCTGGAAGTCACCTGCAACCGCTCGTCGAGAATATCTTCAGGGGAGAATCCACGTATTTTATCGCGAATACCTGCATCGATGATCACGATGAGGGGAAATCGGCTGACCCAGGTGCATCTGTACGTTGCAGAACAGCCACGATCGAGAGACATGCGCGAGAAGCCTTCGTGCCACCCAAGAGTCACGACAGTCTCCGGGCGCGTTCCCACCGGCGGCACTTTGCAGCGTCCTGCAACAGCACCAGCAGCAGCAACAACGTTGCTGCGCGATGAATCAAACTCAAAGAACACCAGTCACGAGCAGCAACAACCCGCGAGCACACAGACCAGCCTCGCTGGACATCGGTATGGCACGACGGTGTCCTGTCGTCAGCTGTACACGAGCAGCGGCGATATCAGCCTCGTCGCCAGTCCTCGCCAGCACACCCTCGTCAGCGCCGGCCGTATGCACCACACGCGGATTCCTCTTCGACGATTGCACGGGACTAAACGAGACGAACTGCGTTAACAAAGTCCAGAACGCGGGAAACGAGCCAGCTGGATTCGAGCTGAACGTGAACGTTGCGTGCAGTCCTGCTGGTAATCGCGGTACGCATCTTCTCTCTATGGAAATGGACGATGGATATGGAGGATGGGGGAAGAGTTAGGGCGGAGTTAGGGTCAACTCGTAGATTTTTTAGTACCTGACGGGAGTACTTTGGGTTGACCATGCATCACTTGGAGGGATGTGCTTGGTGGAGGAATCGGTATGGCGAGGTTGTGGATCGAAGCGTCGAGGGCCACTTGATGTTTGAAATTTTGATGTCAGGCTGGTATAAAGGCCCTGATCTTAGATTAGTATCGGGGAAAATTGAATTTTCAGCTCTTTAGCTTCCTTGGATCATGTGCACTTTGATGCCTGATTGATCCTACGATCTCGCTGTATCGTTTCCATCTACTGTACAGTCGTATTTTCAATTTGTATACCGAAGAATCTGTCTGCCTGACTGTCAAAGACACGTAGTATTAGCGAGGTTGCAACATTGTTGCGGTATAGTTTGCGTTGGATAAATTTGACGATGCACGTAGCACGACAGTTGCGCAGCTGATTATTACGTTGTTCGAATGTATCGTGCTCGTGTATACGCGTAGATGAATTAAACAGGTTTGTTCCGTGGTGGCAGCGATTTCAATTTCGATTACGTTACACCTCGCTCGGCCTTGTGCGGTGGAAATCCTGTTCGCCACGAGACTAGTCAAACGCCGTCGACTTCTTTTGCTCCTCCTCTTTTTTAATCCTGCCAAACGTTCTCGTCGAATTTTTTCTTTCGACTCGTTAACTCGAACAATTCTACTCTGCTTCTTTCTTTCTTTCCCTTCTGCTTGTCGTTTGTAACCCCGGCGGCACGCAACTGTAGACTTTCGAACGGTGCCTACGATCATTGGTGCCTGTAAACGAAGCGATCTGCTCCTCGATCCACGGGCTCATTACGCTGAGCCGTTACTGAACGTGGAAAACACGGGGCCACAGATCGATCACACACGAAGCTACACCTCGGTCAGCCTGACGCTGAGGCCGCCATCCTCGGAACCGCAACCTCCGATCGACATCAGATCCCAGGGCTCGAGCCTAACTTACTCGAGCTCTTCCTTGGATCCGAGGGGTTTTCAAAGTCGTCTTCAGATCAGCATCGGTGCAGGAGCAGTTGGCAGTGTGGCTGCTGCTAGGATCAGACCTCCGATGGGCCCGAGTAGGCCCAACAGCTTGATACCACCGGTACAAACCGGTCCACAGAGACCACCAGGTACGCGTACCTTTCTCTCTATTTCAAATTACTTACACTCGGTACGATCGACAGATCGTAGATGAATTTCAATGAAAATGTACACGTTGAACTTACAGGTCTTCCTGCAGGGCCACCTAGTCAGTTACCAAGGCCCACGACGACAATGAGCGCCCCAACCACACCTTCGGTACCACCGACAATGAACATCGTTCCTCCCATAAGCCTTCCAACGACACCGTCAGGACCGACGACGACCTCGCCACCCTCCAGTCCCATTGGCGAACGGGTACAGGCCAATTCCGATCAGAATCGATCGCCGTTGAATCAAGGTAGCCGAAGACGCGTTGGACTATATATCCCGTGGGCAGGCTTGAAAATAACCTTTCGGTCCGGCTATTTTTATTATACGGCTATATTTGTACTCTCGATAGGCTGTAAACGTGCTTTGCCGCTTTGTTTTCTCGATCCTCGTATTATAGGAATCACACGTACACGTATATTTACCTGCGAAACCACTCGGTCGCACATACTACGCCCACGCATGTAACACTGAGAACGATATTTACGCATTCCTGACCCCACGCTCCGTCTATACATAGCCACGCTTGCGGTTACTCTACGTGGACCACCTGATCCGCTTTTCCTTCTCACGAACAGCGTCGTCGTCGTCGTCGTCGTCGTCGTCGCCGCCGCCGCCTCAATGTTGACGCGTTTCCTCAATTTACATATCATGTTTTCCCCCCTATCGTTTAATCGTTTACACGACGGTGAAATAAAACGTCGACGGGGCTAATTTGTAGTGATGCAATTGCCATAGGAATTCTAAATGTACGTATAAGTGTATGTGTGTATTTATAAAACGAGATAGAAGTGAAATTGAGATCGTAATTTCTAATCAAGTTAGATAGGTTTTACTTAAACTGAGCGGATATATTCATGCTGGTCGTCGTGTGAGTTTAATATGTTCGTTGTGCCGTTACAGTGGCGGAGCACCAAAGGAAATTGGTCGCGGAACAGTTGGCCAGAAAAGAAAAACTCGCCAGGGAACTGAGGGCCGAGAAAGGACGACTCGAAGCGATGAAGAAAGAATTGCAATCTCTCACGAGGCCCTTCGATTCCTCGATGCCTCCTCAGGTATATTCTATCACCGATTCCAATCTAATCTGACGCATAGAAACACGTTATGTAATGGGAAATTTTGCAGGAGTTGAAAAGAAAATTGAGAAGCGAGATCTATCAGCTGCAGGTTGAATGCGACAGACTCGCCGATGAAGTAGATCAGTGGTCGGATCCAAGAGGTAGTATCATCGTTGTTTATCTCGAGTGAACAATTTTCTAGAGTCCAATCGAAAATTCTATTATCTTGTCCGTTTCGTATCTAGTACCTTTGGGTGAAACGAACGAAAAATTTTATCAACATATTTACACCGGTCAGCCTCTACCATCGAGGTCTGTCAATTCCAACCCACCGCCTCTGCCAAGTCAGCCACCCGTGACTAGTAACAACATTGACAGAGAAGAACGAGACGGCCCTTCTTGGGTCTGTAGAATGTGCACGTTTGACAACCATCCGTTGATGAAAAACTGCGAACAGTGCGACATGCCAAGGCTATTGGATCACGGAAACACAGGTACGACTTCCGGCAAATCGATAAAGGACCTTTCGTCTCCGTTAACACGCTTGGACATCGATCCACCGGCTTCGTCGCCTCCGGAATAGGGAAACCTTAACAGAGTGCTTTAACAGAGAGCATGTGTTTTCATTTTTTCCTTTTGTGAATTGTTTCACGAGTAACATTCGAACGACTATATCTTACGAATAATTAAGCTGGGAGGCTCTGTACATTCTGTACACTTGGACAGTGCGGTGAAGTGCGCAACCAAAGGTGATATTTCTTTTCTACGAGACAACGTTTTCAACGATCCGCTCACGAATCAGAGAATAATGTAACGACTATCGTAAATATGGACGTGCAGCTTAAATAAAACAGGTCTACGACGAGTACTTAAACGTAACGCATGAACGTGTGTTATTTTCTTCGTTAATCTACTTTAGGATAATGTAAATTCATCCTTAGGAATAGGCGCATGTCTAATTTGGTTGACTTTTTCTTGAACGTTATTAATTATATCGTAATTCTGTTGTCTTTTTAATTACGGCAACTAGTCGATCGTCGCAAATTGGTAAGTAACATGCTCTTTAAATTTTAACGTCATATGTTTTAAAGCATTTCAAATATAGTAATCGTGATGTATCGTAACAATGTATGATGTACGGTTTACAGGCGAGACCCAAGATATTCATATACGAGTTACACATCATCATAACTTTTCCCCAAGCAGTGAGTATCTTTTCAGATGCAAGTTTCAGTGTAGAGATGAAAATGCAGGATTTTAATACGACATGAAAACTTTTTAATCTTTTCTAGGGACAGTGCATAGTTGGGTGGTATGACGTCAACTACATTAGAAACGTGAAAAAAAAAACTGTATATAAAACCATTATTTAAATTAAATAAAAAAATTGTCACAGCCAACAGATCGGGAAAGGAAGACAAAAACTTGAATAACTTAATTCAATTTAACTTTTTTTATTTACGAAATCAATATATAATTTAATATATAATTTGATTTTTTCAATATACGAATAATAATATAGATTCGAAATTGATAAACACCGTATCGCAGAATGTACCATTTGCACTTCTGATTACTAAATAATCAACGACTTATCAGTAGTCTGACTCCTATTTGTATGAGTTTTGAAATACTATTTAAAATACAAGTTATTTCTAGTAAGTCCATTAGTACAATATTCTCCCATTATATAGCTGTACCCCGCTCCAAATTAAGCTTCGTTTCACGTGTGTATTCTCCATAGAACCTCTCCAATTTCTGGTTGAACTTCGCGTTACGTTCGTTGATGTAATCAATGTCAGCATCGTCGTTGTGCATTCTTCTTCTGCTATACTTATCTCTCTTTGCAATCCTGGAAAAAAAAAAAAAATGATCATAATATACAAATGTTACAGTGTGTTTAAATGTTTGACCATGAAGTACTAACTGTTTCTCCAAATCTTCAACCATTTTATCAATAGCTTCCTTTTTATCTTCGTGCAGACCATGCAATATGGTGTTTCTGTCTCCATAAAAGGCTGGACCTAATTTATCTTTAGCATCCTCGTAAGAATCCATGTTTGGTTTGATATTTTTTACTAGCCTATTATATTGCCGAATAGCTGCCTGTTCGTAATCTGAAAAACCTGGATCTGGATTTTTTTTATTCCTCCTCTTTCTGGCTATACGTTCTGCTTCTGTTGCATCAATGTGAAGTAATTTTGTCCTCTCGTAATCTTCTCCCTGTAAAATATAGATACACGTAAATTCAATCACCCTCTTCTGTAAATAATATCTTCGGGTAATAATTACATTTTCCTCAGCTTCCTTCCTTGCAGCTTCATCTTGCACAATCCATTCCGCTTGTCGTTTACGCGATTCCCAGTTCGAAGGAAGTTTATTCCTCTTATCCTCCTCTACAACTTCCTTGTGGTTCTGTTGTCTAGCTTCATTCTATTTGATAAACATTTTATAAAAAACATTTCCTCCAAAAACTACGCGTGAAACGAAAAAAAAAACAATCCGAAGAAAACAGCATAGGTTATACAAATTATACTCCATTTCCTACTCACTCTTTTCGCATGTAGATCCCTTAAACGTTTCATTCTATCGGCTTGTTTCTTCGCAGCTGAATTCTCACCGCTTGTACCTTCTGTCTCCATCTTAAACCAAAACAAAAACACCAAATTTTTTCACCTAACAGATTTCTTTGTCGTTCGTTAAAGGGTTAGAACGCAATTGATTAGGATACCGCCATTATCGAGCGGTAAGTTGCGTCGCATCGTGTATTCCGGAAACTCCGCGAGATGTCAGCAAACTACGATTCGTCGACGAAAAAGGCGAACTCCGTATGCCCGACTTCTGTGGGTGGTAGGTAGATTGAAATTGATCTTCTGCTCTCGAGCGGATGAGAGCGCAATAAGCGAACCATCGTTCGGTGGTATCGTTCGTGGCTGCAACGGGGAAGAGAGTTGGGTGATTTTTCGTCCGCCGGTAGAAGGTCGTACCGGCCGATATCACGGTTGTGTCGAGAGAGTTAGCAGCACTCGCGAAGGTTCGCGTTTGCGCGAACCCCAAGACGGTGAAACGTGACGCAGAATTGTACGCTGGCGGCGGCTGGGCCGCAGAGGAAAGTTCGCGCTCTGCGGGCTTTTGGGGATTCCCGCGAAGCGCGGCCAGGGTGCCGCGAAAGCTCCGAAAGGCGACTGTAAGAGGGATAGAAGGCACACGCGACTTCTCGTTCCAACATTATCTCGGACAGATTAATTCTCCCTATACCGTTATGGAGACTCTTGAGTCGAGTCGCGTCTGCCGCCTTTGCGGCAAGCAATCCGGTATCTCAATTAACATTTTCGACAAGAATGAGAACCATGTGAAGAAAATCAACGCCGTTCTCCCGATCATGGTATGTCACATCATTCTTCTCCCTTCTACGTTCGCGTATCGTTCCTTGTGATTTTCACGTGTATTCGATGGCCTTTCCTCTGACATCATAAACGTCCCCCCCTTGAACCACCTTTTTGCCACGAATCGCGCTAGGAACACGCAACAATGTTAACTTCAAATGTAAATTAATATTCGAGAGTAGTAGATCGATGAATTTTTCCAGACATACATATTCGTATTTCGATGGGACATATGTATCGCAGCTTTGAATTTTACAGAAGGTAGATTCGAAGCATTTGATTTGTCAAATTTACGACGGTAAAAGTGAGGTTATTGTTACTTCGCGCCAATATGCCTCATAAGCACTTTTAACGTATTGCGTAACTTTGAATCGTAATTATCACTTTTAGCCCTTTATTGTCGTAAAACCGTACAGTGGATATTTTATCTTCGAAAAAGCTCAGTTAAAAATAGAATTACGTTGAAGTATCGAATGTAGCAAATGTTCTACGTTCGAAATATGAGACGTAGATAAGGGTTGCTCATTTTCTCGAACCAGTTACAACCAGTTAGCCATTGTTCCACTCCATTAATTTTTTTATACGGATTATAATACGGAAGAATTATCAGCACTTAAATGAAAGCAGTCTTATCGCATATTTTAAAATACTTAAATAATATCCACATATATTTCACGTTACAACAATCTTAAATTAACGAAGATCGTTGTACGTAAAATCTTACAGTCGAAGTATGTTTTTCCGTTATATAACAACCTTGCCATTTTTTTCTCAATCGAAAACATTACAGCTAACCCTTCTATTCTTATTAATAAAATATTATCGCACATTTGTAAAAAGTAAATCTCACGCATCCCGTCGCGACTACGATGTAAAATCCGTGGTACTTCGTCGTGTCTAAATCACAGTAACGTTGTTAGGACTTTATACCGCGAAAAAATAAAACACGATCGTTTTTTTTTCTTCTTTCTCTCTTCGCACATTCGCACGGCACGTGCATTCTCCCCACCATGTGAACATCTACACATGCATTCGCATCGGCTGTGTATCCCGCAGGTACACGAAATGGACCTGTTGCCGAAACACATGTGTCATCGGTGCAGTTACAAGCTGGAGGAGTTTCACAAGTTCTACGTGGACTGTCTGAAAACCGATGCGGATCTGAAGAGTCAGTTGTCCTGGATGCAAAAGGAGGACTCGAAGGAGAGAGTGGGCGTACCGATGGTGCATATAGAGAACATCAGGATCAAAATAGAGCCGCCGGATTACGACGCCTACGAAATCAACCCCATTGTCGACAACGTAAACTATATGAACTCTGTCACGTTCCCGGTAAACGGTGTTCGATCCGACGATATTCCCGATGGTATAACGTACACGACGTATGCACGTTGCGGTTGTTACTGTGATAAAGCGGACCAAAGTAATCAGACTGTACCTACGAATTATGAGAACAGGATATCGGATTGTGGCAGAATAAACGACGTTAGGGAAGATAACACGAGGGGAATGTTGAATTGTGAAAGAATCGAGGAACGATCGAGTATACAAACGCTTGGTAAGAAGACTAAGGATCTAAGAAGATCTAGGCCAAATTTATCAAATTTCAGCCGTTCTAAAGGTAAATCTGCTAGTACAAACGTGAACGTTCAAAAGTGTACGATTGTTCGTAATTTAAGGCCTAGAAAGGGTTCTGTGGATTACAGACAGACTAGAAAAAAACTTTCTACGGTTTCAGCGCTGAATAACGGTAGTAGGTCGAAGAACGAAGAGGCGAGGATGACGACGACACTTTCGACGGGGTTAGAAGTAACGCAGATTAAAGTGGAGAAATTGGACGATTTCGGGGGACGTGTTTTGAGGCCAAGGAAGGGTACGGTTGACTATATTGGACCAAAACGAAAGTACTCGAGATCTTCGATCAAGAAGGAAAGGTTGCATAGTGACGAACGTTCGTCTGAAAAAACGAAGGTTCCGAATATAGCGAGTAAATTGAAGCCGTCATCGAAACGGGTGCCGAAATTGTTAGATAATAGTATTAAATTATCTATAAAAAAGGAACAACTCTCTGATCTCGAAGATATGGTGCTTGACGAATCTATATCGGCTGTTATATTGCCGGAAAAGCATGTTTTAAACGATCACGTTGATACAGTGCCTAACGACCACATCACCAATATACACAACGATAGGGTTAATTGTAGTAGTACGTATAGTGCACAGCACGTCGGCAATTTTAGCGTAGGCAACAAGTGGAAATGCTTGAGAAGCATGTCGAAGCATAAGTTGAAGTCAAGGAAGATCAGTTTGAATCGGTTCGAAACAGAGATAAATTATCCGCCGAAATATTTGAGAAGCCAAGATGTCTATCTGAGAAGCGGGAAGATAAGGAAGCTCGATAACGCGAACGTATCGGCGAAGAAATTACGAAGAAGCCTGCGAAATCTAACGGACAGAGGCAAAATGACGAGGAATCTAATGAAAGCGATCAGAGGCACTGTTACAGCGATCAAACTGCTTGATAACATCAAGCACTATTGTGAAGAATGTAACACGCATTTCACAAACAAAGAATTGTTCAAACTGCACGCGTGCTATGGACATTGATCTTTATTCGTTTTTTATATATATGTAAAGCTAAGGGTAACGCGATATCGCGTAGAGGTTTATTTTTCAAAGAGTTCGCGTTACCCGTATCTGTATACGCAGAATTGGGATTGGACTTTTATAATGATCGATCGTTTATCCATTCCTTGATGAAATTAATTTTCTTTTGCTTTTTCTTTTTTTTTCGTTTTGGAAGTTACGATGAAACGTTGTGACGCGATTATCGATCAGCAAAGAAATCTATACCTATGTAATTATTTTGAACATACTGTAGAAATCAATATCGTTATATTACTTTTATGATCGAAGATGTATAAATGATCGTCGAATGGTGATACATAAGGATACGACAAATGTTAGGATGTACGCTTACATGTCTTTTGTAGATAAAAAGATTCACGGATAGCCTTTAAAGCGTAAGAGATATATTATATAATGTTATACATATATTTTAAGAGATATCAGATATTCATATACACGAGATTGTGATACACAATTAGAGGATGCTAGATTTGCATTCGTTTTATGTGCAATTAAAGCGTACTTTTTCTTCTTTTTTTTCTGTTTTTTACTCTGCATATTGCTCTTTTATTATAATAAAAAAAAGTTAGCTTTTCTGTCTAGAGGTACATTAATCGCTTTCGTACATCGATAACATTTTGATTTTAACGATACGTATGTATAATTTTGCGCGATGTACGATCGATTTAAATGGAAATTTTCTATTAACATTTTTAAAGAGGATACGTAATTGGGGATTTGTGGAAAATAATCGCGATTAATATGTAACGCTTTGTATTTTAAACAGATATTAAATTTCAATTTTATGGTTGTTGTTATTGGATATGAAGTGCACTTGCCATCTTTTTGTGCACCGACCGTTATTAAACGAAAAATGTTGTTTACGATTATCTAATTATTTTATGAATAAAAAATTGCGATCACTATAAAATGGTTATACCTTTATACCGATGGTTGTTCAATAAACTCTAAACTAGGCTAGTGGAAAGTATTTTTTTCTGACTTTTTCACTCGTCGTTTATTAGTTATTCCAATTGTGCGATCATCCCTTAAATTATTAATTTTTTTGTTATAACTGTCCTATACGGGGTTCTAGAAGTTTTTGCGTCGACACTGGTTAGGTGAGGTCGCTACAAGCCTTCCATCGAACGAATTAAAACTAACAAACAAACAAAAAGTACTCCAAGTGTCAAACCACTTTAGAAAGATGATTAATTACTTGGATTATAATACTCAAAAGTCTTATCAGTAAGAAAACCGAATGTCTTCAAACTCGCAAAAGTCCCCTCGTTACGAGGATGTAAGTGTATCGTGTATTATTCAGTAGCAATCTTAACCTATTTTTGGTTACAATAGGCGTGTTACACCTTACTTATTTTCCATGTTTTGCAAATGGATTTATAGTTGTTTACGTAATATATTCGAATTATTAATTATTAAGATATACCAAGATTTCAAGTTTCCTATTTCCCTGTAGAAATTAAGATTTCATGCATGTTTAATTCATATACAGTTGAACTCAACCGAAGATGATACTCTGGGTACTTCGTTTAGTCTTAGTGTAGGGGATAACTCAATTAGAATAAGAGAAAAGCCCAAGGTAGTTAAAAAAGTAGCGTCTGAAGACAAGCATGACCAGGAGAAATGGTGGTTAAAGAAGCCAGATACCTGGCTTGATGTTTCTAATGTTATTCCCATGGATGCAAAATTAAAACAGTCTCCATCCCCTTCACCAGATGTTAGCTCTTCGATGAAAGAATTTCTTGAGAAAGAAAAAATGTGCAAAGTAATTGAAATACAATGTTTTCTATAAAATAAAATTCTCCATAGTAGGTGCTTTGTTTTTTAATTGTTTCACTTTCTATAGGCTATGCATAAAAATGAGATTGAGATGAAAGAGACGGATGACACTTTGTGTGATATTCTGGCTTCTGCAGCTTTTGACAAGTATCCCTCTGATTTTGAAAGTAAGTATTTTCATAGGGATTGCAAGGTATTCGTTATTCACTGCAATATCTCACGTGCAGTTTAGCCAGGATGTTTGTTCTTTTGTACAGATGCAACTGACGAGGACATAGGTAGTATTTTAGAGGAAATGAGTAAGATTGCTGGAGCTCTTAGTCCAAATTCATCTGCAGATCGCTCAAAGTCTAGGAACTCAGCCAAAAATACAACAGAGGAGGAGAAATCTGTGGAAGAACTGTTAGAGGAAGCTGAGAAACTTGTAAGAAAAAATAGCAGTAGTTTATCTAAAAGTGGATCAAAATCTGATACATTAGTACCTGAGAATACTCCGGAAGATGTAGAAAGTCTTAATAGGGTTAAACAATTAGAAGCTGATATCTTTCAACTGATAGAGGAGGAGGTGCACAAAGAAACTGAAAAAATCAGAAAAAGTCCAAAGAACGAGAAGAAGAGGGAGAACAGTCCTGGGTATGATGTCGTATATGAAAGTGTGAATGGCTTGAAAGCTCCGAAATCGTTGGAACTTCAGAGAAGAAAGTTCGAGGAACAGAAGGTGGAAGTATCCAGTAGCTCTGACTTAGATGATCCAATTGAAAGACATTCCAAGTCGGAAGATTTGAAGAGTACAAGAAAGATGGAATCAGACAAGGATAGCCTGCATAAGGAGATAACCGACGTGGATAAAGATTTTTTTGAAGATTTATTAAGGAAGTCGAAAGAAAGAGCAGAGGGTGGTATATCGGGTAGTTCCAGTTTCGGACAAGAAGATTTCTCCCACTTTTTGAAACTTTTGCAAGTGCAGACTGATAAAAAAGAAAAAGAATCAAACGACCTTAATCCTTCTCGTCATTTCCTTTCGAAACCTACCGACGAAAAGACATCTCTCTTAGATGGAGGATTCGCGAACGACAAAAGTCCCGAATTTCCCGAGAAAGAAATCTCCGACATATTAGAAAAAGAACTGCCTGGAGCAGACAATCGAAAAGTCGATCATGAAATCATCGAGACAGACTCTAGTTTAGGCGAGGATGAACATAAGCAAGCTCAAAGTATTAGCAATAGTGGTAGGTCTGAATCGAAGGTATCGAATAAAAAGGATCAACCACCTCCAGAAAAAACACCTGCATCGAAAGATGATAAAAATATACTTAACGAAGAATTGTATACTGTTGGTCGCACACCAAGATTAGAATTATTCGCGGATGCGATTGAAAAATTGTTAGCTGAAAAGACTGTAGACAATACAACGCAACAGAGCAAAGAACCTAACGAGGAACGAAAAGCGTTTGTGCGTAAAACAATTTCCAACACAGAGATCAAAAGTAGCTCTAATCTTTCCACTACTCATCGTAGCAACGTAGAACGTAAACCTGTTCATCCAAGCAGCGCAACGAGCAATAAACCGCTGAAGAAAGAGTTGAAATTTTCCAAGTCTAAAAGTTACGATCAGATCTGCAAACCTCCGTCTAGAACTTCCGTAGAAAATCCAAGAGCAGCCAAACCTATGGATACCACGAAAAAACCTGCCAATTATTTTATGAGACGATCGCCAACGTTGAAGCCAAGATTACAACCCACTGTCAAGCCAATCACAAAAATCCCTCCCAAGAATAAATTATCTTCAAAACCAAAGAAAGATCCCGTTAAGACTGGCTCCACTCTCACTTTGTCTTCCACGAATAAAGGGTACCAAGCTAAATCACCGGACTCTCGTGCAAAACACCTGATGGCTGGTGGTGACACGAAACAAAATCTAATAACGAAAACGAACTGGGAAGCGTTGTGTCGCGAAGAGAGACACAAATATGCTCTTCTCAAGCAGCAATTAGAGTCCGAAGTGAAAATATACAGGACTCAAATCGACAATATGCGTATATCGTTCGAGGAAGAATTGTTTTCACTGAAGAAACAGAATGTTATACTAAAGGTAAAGGTGGACGAGCTTTTGTTAAATGAAAAACGTCCAGAGCCTCAACTGAAGAAGGACACGAAGATCATGGTTCTGGAGAGGGAGTTAGAGAAACAGGAGAATGTAATTCAAGCTTACGAAACTGAGAATAAAAAGTTGATGCAAGAAACGAAGCGTATGCAGGATGAAATGAAGCAGTTGCAGAAGCAGAAGAGCACAGCGTTGGAATCGAGCAAAAAGCAGGAACTTGTTGATAGAATCAAGGATCTGGAAGAGGAGACTTTGAAGCTCAACCTGGAAGTTACCGAGCTTCGTGAGAAGAACGCGGACTCTGCATTGAAGAACGACGATCTGATGCAGCAGAATGGTTTATTAAACGACGAACTGGAGATGTTCAGGGATCAATTAAGAACGAAGAACGACTTCATCACGGATCGATTGCAGGCGATGACCACGGCAGAGTTACAATTGAAGAAACAAGTGGAGGATCTGTCGGTGAAATTGAGCTCGAAGACGGAACAACTGCGGTTGATCAAGAGGGAGTTCGATAGGATTCAACAGAACGTTCTTCCACTGGAGAAAGAGTTGTTGGAATTAAGAGTGAAGGAGGGGAATTTTCAGGAGAAATTACAGGTAGCCAGGAGCCATGTGGAGCGTGAAAAACAATTAACTCAGAAGCTGAAGGATCAGGTAATCATTGATAGCAGAAAGATTACGGATCTGAACAGGCAAATACGAGAAATGGAAAGGATACTGAGAAGGAAGAATCCTGACTCGGTGTCTGCTCTGATATTGACCGCGAATTCTGAGCAAGACAAAATTGGCGCGGAGAAGGTTAAATTGTTGGAAGATCGAATTGCAAGTCTGGAGAATGAAACGAAGGCGAAGGAGGATCTAGCGCAGCAAAAATTAATCGAGTTCCAGAAGAAGTTCACCGACATGAAAGAGAAATACGCCGCGCAGATAGTGGAACTGGAAGAAAAGCTTCTCGAGGCGAATATTAAAAATCGCAAAGTATACAACGACATGTTCACGCAAACTGTAACGAAACCTATGGAGAACAAGAGCGTGGAGACAATCAGAAAGCAAGAGAGGACAGGCTCGTTTGAGAAGGAAGAGAAGAAAGAGCAGAAGTCATCTGCAAAACCTACACTGAAGTCTCAGAATTCAAAGGACGATGCTTATCTTATGGCTACCATACGCGGATTGAAATTAGAGCTTACGAATAAGGATAAAACAGTCTCGAAGCTGACGAAGGAGTTCCAAGAGATACAGAAGACGAACAGAAGACTTCAGAAGGAGAGGGAAAAATTGTTGAACGACAGAAGATCCGTGAAAAGTATGGACATAGAGAAGATGAACCGTGGCATGGTATCCTCGGACTCGAAATTATCGACTTTGAAGTCTACCGAAGGAAACGATCAGAATTCGAACGTCTATCAGAATGGCTACACGTCCGATGCGAACACTCAAAGACTGTCTGCTTCTATGCAAAAATTGTACGATCCTATGCAGTATACCGAGAACGAAGATAGCAATCTGGTGAAAAGATTGACCGATGAGAACGATATTCTGAAGGAAGAATTAAGCAAAATGAACAAAGACTTCATGGCCTTGAAGAACAAACGATTGCACGATCTGAACCTCTTGCAAGAGGAACACGAACGCGAGATGGCTGCTTTGTTGAAGGAATACAGCGTTAAATTCGGGGATTCGAAAGTGGTAAAGTTGCAGGTTCGTAGTATTACGTGCAGTGTTGATTTATATATTTCGTTTGCTTGTTTTATCGTAGTAGAAATTGTTTGCACGTAGTACTAGCTGTTTTTGTTCGTGTGTACACAACTCTATAGAGGGTTGCTTTTACCAATAGGGTCAGATAAATACTCAAGTAGCTGTGATATCCCACTTAAAGCAGCAAATTGAAAAGATGAGGGACTACAAGGAGCAAGTGGTTGTCTTGAAGGCTGAACGGGAACACTTGGAGAGCAAAGTGAAGAGTTTAAACGAGAAAGTTAAATACTTATCGACTCCGGTACGTGACGAGAATTTGGAGGATAATTGCGTTTTTACGACGTAGATTTTATTCGATCTTTTATTTCAGAGTACAGAACAACTGCAGCTGTTACAGGACAAAATAACGATTCTTCAGCAACGGCACGAAAGTCGCGAGATGACGTTACAGAGTTTGGTGCGCGATTTGCTTAGAAATAAAAATCAATGTAAGGACTGTAAAAACGAGAAGGGTAAAAATCGACAATTGTGTTATTTCCGTCAAGAGCTTGATAACATTCTTGGAATGCTCCAAGAGATCGCCAATGTTCATTAACTCGTAGGTGATTTAGATTAGAAATGCGTGAAAAGTGGTGCTCAGGAGATGTCGAGAAACGATCGACAGGTTGCAATTTCTCGATTCGTTATCGGGCATGGTGATAATCCGTACTCGAGGGGATTGTACGTTTCTTGTTAGGAGAAGTTATAACGTTGTTAGGCACTTTATATTATGTAAGCGGATATGCACATCCAAAAAGAGATCGGTCGACGCTTTTTATCGACCTTTATCAAGAAGGCGACATGATTTAGTTGTTCACGATTGCCTTCGCAATAAGTTTAGTCGTTCTTGTTGTATAGGATACGGATATTCAGTGAAATCATATCGGTCCTGGGAAAGCTCGCGCATAATGATCGACTGGGATTACTGCCAAAGGTACAGAACAAAAATAATAACGACGAATAAGTAAGGGAGTTACCGTTTTGTCGTAACTTCGCGTCGAACATTCCTTCTTGCCACTGTGCGTGTTACACGCACGGACTACGTCCAATAGTTGGAGTAATAAACAACTAATAGTCGAATATCAAACGAGAACATAGAAATATTTTGATCTATATTTAATAAAAAGCAGACTTTTTATTTATCTAATAACGTAGGGTTATAAATTGACGAGAGAAATTAAGAAGAAGAAAAAAAATAAGAACTTGACTGCTTCCAATTTGGAACTAGTTTTAGCATTGTACTTATTGTCGAGAATTATTTGACGAATGGATAGGTTTAAGCCATGATATACGAACGTAGAGGAAGCATCTTCAGGAGAGACGAGATATCTTCCAAAAAGTTGCGTAGAAGTTAATTTTTTACATGAGGCTTTTTCAGGATACGCTGTATGTAAAAGCGACGTATCAGATCTCGTTTAAATAATTCTATTTATTTCCTATTTATATATATTATATATTCACTCATTCTTCGCCATCAACGAATCCATCTATAATCAAGTCGTCCAGTTGTACTGTATACATAATATATTTATATACACCTTAGAGACATTCATTACACGTTTTAGGAATCACACAATCGACTCTTTAACACGTTCACGACGAACGATGCACACGCATATCGCACAAAAAGAGAAAGAAAAATCGAGGTGTCTGTTAGACAGTTAACGATGTGAACAATCTTCATTGGAAGGATAATATTAGAGAACGATTTTTTGCTTTCAGGTTGTACCTGTTTTTATCAGATCATTATAATCACATAGAGTACATGTATTGTTACTTCTTCAAGACTGGATATACGTCAAAATCACTGCATCTTTTTATAATTACTTTTAAGCTAAACAGCCGTAATGTACAAACCATGAGATTATGACTTTAATAAATTACTTTTCTTCTCTTTGTCCATTTAGACTAATATACATATATTTAATACAATTGTATGTGTACCCGTTGTTTACTTTTTTACGAACGACGATCGTTGAATGACAGAATTTTTTGGTTTCAGGGAAATATCGATAAGAGATAATACTGTTTTTCATTTTGATCTGAACAATTTATTCGGACAAAATATACATTTTTAAATACATGTACATTAATATACAGGAGTTTTTGTTTTATTCGTTAAGTACAGGGCGATACAATGCAAGGAAGTATTACACTAGAACAATGACTAGAAGCAGGTATTGGAAGTAGCAGATCGTTATTTCCTCTTGAGGAATCGACGACATTCTCTACCATACAATAAATCGTGGTGCTTGTCTAATGAAGTTGCTGCAATAAATATATTTAATAAATCTTGGTTAAATGCTGACACAATTAAATACTTGCTTACCTGATGAAAGATCGTTTGCCATAAAAAATGGACAGTCCATACATTGTACAAAGACCGATAACAAGTGCTTGGCGTATAACTTCGAACGTTAAAACGTATTGCGTAGAATTCTCTTTTTTCACGAAGTCTGGGATAGCGAAAGTCTTCATCCTAGGTGCAAAGTCGTTGGTACGGGTCAAGACTTTCTCTCGTGATGCCAAGGAACGTGTGTTACGTTGCTGAACAGGAAGTCGCGATGATCGAGCTTGTCTACGAAGAGATGAATCTTCCGATACATCTCGTTGACTACGTTTATCCGAAGAGCGAACAGATTCTCTATCCATAGATCGAGATCGTTTGGCATCGTTTAGAGATCTGTCTCGAGAAGATAGAACAGGAGCACGAATTCCATCAGCGAGGTTTTGTTCCTTGTGGCTAGATCGAACGTTGTTTGCAAGAAGAGTAGGCATAGAGCGAGTTCGTTGTAATCGATTGACTTCCAGTCTCTGTCGTAGCGATCGTCGTGAGTCCAAGTCTCGTCGATCAAGTCTTTCGTTGGCGAAACGACGATCAGCTCTTTGTTCTGTGAGACGACGTTCAGTTTTGCGTTCCATGAGTCGACGATCAGCTCTTTGGTCCATGAGACGACGGTCAGTCTTGATTTCTTCGCGGTTTCGGGATTCGAGGGATGCCGAGCGCCTTTCTGAACTTGTTCCAAGTGTTCTACGTTCCATGAGTCGACGATCAGCTCTTTGTTCCATGAGTCTGCGGTCAGTTCTGCGTTCCATAAGTCGACGATCAGCTCTTTGGTCCATGAGACGACGGTCAGTCTTGATTTCTTCGCGTTTTCGAGATTCGAGGGATGCCGAGCGCCTTTCTAAAGTCCTTCCAAGTGTTCTACGTTCCATGAGTCGACGATTAGCTCTTTGTTCCATGAGTCTGCGGTCAGTTCTGCGTTCCATAAGTCGTTGATCAGCTCTTTGGTCCATGAGACGACGATCAGCTCTGATTTCTTCGCGGTTTCGGGATTCAAGGGGTGCAGAGCGCATTTCTAAACTTCTTCCAAGTGTTCTACGTTCCATGAGTCGACGGTCAGCTCTGCGCTCCATGAGTCGTTGATCTGCTCTGCGTTCCTTAAGTCGTTGATCAGCTCTTTGGTCCATAAGTCGACGATCACCTCTGATTTCTTTGCGGTTTCGGGATTCGAGGGATACTGAGCGCATTTCTGAAGTCCTTCCAAGTGTCCTCTGTTCCACAAGTCGACGGTCAGCTCGAGACTCGGGGGATGCAGAGCGCCTTTCTGAACTTCTTCCAAGTGTCCTTTGTTCTATGAGTCTTCTGTCAGTTTTGCGTTCTATAAGTCGACGATCAGCCCTATTTTCTTCACGGTTTCGGGATTCGAGAGATGCAGAGCGTCTTTCTGAACTTCTTCCAAGTGACCTCTGTTCCATCAGGCGACGATCAGCTTTTTGTTCCATAAGTCGTTGATCTGCTCTTCGGTCCATAAGTCGACGATCAGCCCTGTTTTCTTCACGGTTTCGAGATTCGAGAGATGCAGAGCGCCTTTCTAAAGTCCTTCCAACTTTCCTCTGTTCCACAAGTCGATCAGCCCTATTTTCTTCACGGTTTCGGGATTCGAGAGATGCAGAGCGCCTTTCTAAAGTCCTTCCAAGTGTCCTTTGTTCTACGAGTCTGCTGTTAGTTCTGCGTTCCATAAATCTGCGATCAGTTCTTTGGTCCACTCGTCGATCAGCCCTTTGGTTCCCGAGTTTACGTTCAGCCCTAACTTCTTCCGGAACTCGTGATTCAGCAGAAACAGATCGCCTTTCTGAACTTCTCCTAGAATCCACGAGTACTCGTCGTTCAGATCTTCGATCAGAAGAGAGATGCCTAACTGGTAGTTGGTTTAAGTCATTCCTAGTAACTTGAGGTGTCCTAACAATTCTAGATTCGCGCCTCTCAAGTGCCTTAGTTCTCTGTCGTCGTTCCAAGTCATCAGCAGAGCGTTTTACCAATCTAACAAGGGAATCTCGTCTTTCGTTTGATCTAGCATCCATACGACGGTCCAATCTGTTAATCCTTTCTCTTGGTTCATCGGTAACCTCTCGTCGTTCCATTCTAGTAAGAGATCTGCGGTCTTCGTTCAGTCTGGAATCACGTTTCATAGTCTGAATACGACTTCGTCTATCGACGTTCCTCAAGGATCGATCGTTTCTTTCTCGACGAATATCACCAGTGAGTCGTTCCGTGGATCGTACAAGGTGTGACTCGTTCATTCGCCTATTCACTTCCCTACGCCTGTCCGAATCGGTAGATCTCTTGAGCAATCTCTGTTCAGCAAGATCCTCCATAGATCGCGAGCCAAGTGATCGAGAAAGTCGTATCGCAGGGTCGGAAGATCGTCTCGCGGTATCCTGAATCCTGTTCCTAGCTCTCGATTCCAAGGCACGTCTCGAAAAATCGTTTCCAGTGTTCCTTCTCTCTTTGTCTAATCTCTCTACGCTACCAAAGTCCACTCGTGACTGTAATCTGGTCCTGGAGACGCGATCTAATCTTCTAGATCGAGACATCCTCAGGTCAGACGGTATCATAGAGGTTCTCGAGTCCCTGGTGTCCCTGGTCGTCTTCGAAATCCTAACCGGGTGTTCCTCGAGACTCGAGAAAGAAGGCAACTTGGTGAAAGGAGTCAGATTTGGGCAGGCGTCCACTCTGTGAGCAAGAAGGATACGTGTAGCATGTCATATATAAATATCAGGCGTATTCTAAGGGTAAATCTTACTCGTGAGGGGCTCGGTGTTCTAGTTCAGGTCCAGCCAAACTTCCTGCACGGCCTTCTTTGTCCCTGGAGACTAGGCCGAGCGTAAGGCAAGCGAGAGACACCACCAGGAGGCCGACATATTGCCAAGCCCTCACTGGTAGTGCAACGTACCTCGTACGCCGCATACTAAGTATCAAAAGAACCACTAAATTTTCACTATTTTCTACGTTTTCATATGAAACACCAACTCGGGAAATAAATACACCGAAACTACTCTCTTTGAATATGTACATCGAGCCAGAGAAAATATTTTTCATACTTACCTGAGTTTTTCGCTATGCGTGAAACTGCAAGTGTTTGGTTCCTTGGAAGCTCGTACTTGGTAAGGATTTCTCGTGTTCCTCCTTGGAGCTCCAGAGAGCTGCTGATGCTCCCTGTCCCAAGGAACCGGGCTTTTATACCCGCAAGAATCCGCCGCAATTCGATACAGGTTCAATTCACAGCTTATCAGCACCGACCACATGGGACTCTATATTCCGATACGTGAAAATCACCGTGAATGAAATCGGACCGGTCTATCGAGGGAAACTATTGAAAATGCCCCCGTAATTGGTTAACCATCTAGAAAATTGCGAGGTGGGACATCTGTGTGGCGACTGATATGTCGGTCACCCGGTTGCCGTGTGGCTGAGCTTCAAAGCTACCTTTTCGCGATCAATTTCTGGACCAATCTCGATTCTCTCGTGTTCAATTCCAAACTTGTTAAGTATAATTATACTTCACTTATCCGTTAACTTTTGCTTTCGATCGTTAATCAATCGTATTGTTTGAACGATCAAGGATGAATAATTCACGCTGGAATTACAGTGTCTACAGACTGGTTTATTTTTTATACAAAATCCATATAAAATACAGGAAAGGCTTGTAGCGCGAATACCTTATAAACGTCAAAATTTTTCGAAAATCTTGCCGTCTCTCGTCTGTTTTAAAAGAGAGAGAAAAATTGCCCGTGAATTTTTGCTCGTTTCTCAGCCTGTTTCGAACAGTCGTGAATCTCGTTAGCGAGCAAGACGGACGTGTGTTTGACAATTAATGTACAGTCGACGAGTTTCGTCTTTTCTGCAAGTTGAACTTTAAGAAATTACGATCGTCGTGATGAGAATTGTGACAAACGCAACGAGAAACATATACGAGTTCCTCGATGCAACGGATAACGAGGCCATTTCGCTGCACGTCGTTTCGTTCGTTTCTGGCAGTGCTGTATAGTTTGGGAATGTCTGAATATCTGCTGGCTGCGAAGAAAAAAAGAATTAAAAATTTGAAATTCAAGATGAGATCGTCGAACGTATTATTCGAGACTGAAATTACCAAAGCAAGCTTGTCGTCCCTCTTTCTGCAGAAAGTCATGTGTCTGCCATGATAGAGGCTCTTCTCGATGGATCTTGCAAGGAGTTCTTCTGTCCAGGGCATCGCAAGCATGTGTTCCGCCAAAGTTCGACCTGTTGCAAGGAATAATCGTTCAATTATTACACCTAGAAATTAAGAAAGATTTTTCAATTATTTACCTCTGAACTCTTCTGGATCCTCGATGGTCAACCTAGAGAAGACGTTATCGTTCTCATGCTCCACCGTGTAATCTCTCATAGCCCTCAACGCTGACTTGGCCTCTTTTATAATATCTTCGTCGATCTCCTCGCTTGCTCTCGTTGCAGGATAAACGGGAAGTTGTTGTTGACCGGTGAAAGGAATACTCACAGCATCCGCTCTAACGTAACAAAATCAATAATTCGATAGTTCTCGTTACATACGATCTCCTATTATCGACGATTTCTCACCTGGTCGTGAGGAAAAGTTTCTCCAAGTGGTCCATAGTGACACCTTTGAAGCTATACACACCGAGTGTCTTGAATAGATGCTTCACGGGTGTCATACTGTAACAAGCAGCGAGTGGAGTTCTCGGATAATGAACTACGAAAGCGAGGCACATTTCCTGCGAAGCAGCGTATCCTCCCAGGGTAGGCTTCGTCCTGTCTAAAGTGCCGTAAACACATTCCGCCACTAATTCGTCACCCGGAAGTACTTTTACTTCCTTCTCGAGTGTGTGAGACTGCTGGTACTCGAAGTCGAAGTGGTTGTCTTGAACTATTCTTGGTAGTTCCTTTCCCTGGCGGATGTGCTTTAGACTAAGTCGACGACCAGCCAAGTGAGAGTGCAACGCCACGGAAACAACGTTCACACCTTCCTCGGGGAACATCTGCAAAGATACTCGAATTAGAATTGTACGATCTTGTCACGATTGTCGAGAGAATTGTAGTTTTTTCTTACCGTATTCGTGCAATGAGGGGTACAGTAACCAGCAGTAGCGTACGCCTTTTGTCTAGGAGGGATTAGATGAAGAGGACTAACAGCCACACCGGCGACGAGAATTCCCGCTTCTTCCGGACGAAGCTTCGGAGTCAAATGCAACCTTACACCGCTACTATCTACCACCTTCTTCATGGTTGGGTTATTATAGTGCACTTCTAGCATATAATAAGAGCCTTCGGCGTGTTCCGCGATGGGGATTCCAACGTGTTCCGGAAGCCATTCACCTGTGAAACACATCGTATCGTGGAACATCGTGTATCTTTACCTCGATAAATTTCATATTTCTTCGAGTTTACCTGTGCTACCACGGGCCCAGGCCAACACCGGTTGCAAACACGACTCCCATTCTAGAGGCATCGTTGGACTGTAACACGATGCTCCGACGATTCTAGCATGTTGTCCTAAGATCGGCAAAGTCGAGGCACATTCGTACAATATTATATGATGGACCAGATCTTCGTTCTCTTTCTCAACGAGCGGCGTGTACTATAAATAGAAATGTTAGAAGAATTAGAATGGCAACGCGAGAGACAACTGTCTGGAATACCAGATTAAAAGGTTCTCCTCTCGCGAGAAATCTCTTTGAGCAGATTTCCATTGACAATCGGTGAACGTTTCGGCCACGGAATGACATAATTCCGAGGCCCTTCTTTATTCTAATGACGTTCGTCGACACGGTGCCATGTCCGGCATGGATGACCGTGATTCGTGAAGCACATACGAATCAGGCCCAACCTTACCACATTCCTCTCTACTTCACGCGTGTATACTTAAACTTATTCCCCAACATCGATCTCGATTGAATCTCGAGCATAACTTACCCCGATCATGTGGTGCTTCTCTTTGTGAGGCGCCTTGAAGATCTTGCACCAGTATGTGGTGTCCACGTTGTCTGAAACTGGCGGCTGCACATCAAGGAGAACATAATTAACCATGATTCTTGATGAACCAATTGCAGTATAATTGAAGGGTTCCATAGTACAACGTTACATACGCCAAATTTTCAGAAGCTGAGATTTTTCAGATTAAGAGAAAAAATGTATTGTTTTGAAACCCTTTGACTTTTATCTTGCATCTGCTTACTTGATTCAATTTTACGTCCCAGTGTTTGATATCCTGCGTTTGTCGAGGTGGAGCATGCGGAGCAGGAGTCTTGAGCCTCAAAGCTCTGCCACCACGCTTGTCACCCGGCCAAATCGCGGTGTTCAACTCTGGATCGCTAGGATGCAACGCCCAGAGGACTCTAATCGTGTCTCCCTGCGAGAAGAAACGACCTTTTTGTCGGGATTGTCGGACAGAGGCAGCTCGATAGAGGAAATAGGTTCGTTAAGAAGTATTTTAATGAGATAGACGCCATGCTGTTTCGTACCCAGCGGAGCTCGAGAATGGGCAGACGCACCAGGCATGCTAAACGCCTAAATATCGCCGCGGGAATTCAGCGGAGCCGAGGTCTCGGGGCCTCTTAAAGCTCGCGGAGTCCCCTCGTGTCGGGCATAAATCGAAAGCTGAGCCTCTACCTCGCGAATTCTACCGGGCCTTCTGTCTCTACGTTGTAAATCTTCCCAGCTATTCCCAATTCTCTCAGGTGGAATATCGAACAATTTATTCCCCTCGCCACTTCTAATTACTTTCAAACGGAGTTACGATCGAACCGAACCCTTTATCTTCGAGTTTATCGATCACAAAAGGGAGGGGCAAAGAAACGAAGAGAAATTTTAAAATAACCCATGTAAATTTAAAAATGGTGATAGCAAACGTAACATAGTGACAATAACACGACAGGATAAAGCGGCTAATTTCGTTCTCGATACTTTTAAACTCACCGTCAGCCGATGATCCTGAGGATCGCAGGTCTGCCAGTTTCGCGAGAAGATTACGCTGGTGTGGGTCTCGTTCTGCGAGCCTCCCAGCACCTTGACATCCTGAGACGTGTCCGTGACCAGTGCAGCCTCTGGGTCCTCGATACCGTGCGAGTCCTGCAAAAGGTAGAAATAAAATGAACAAGTGGGAATCGCGGACAGGGTGAACGGACGAAGGACGTGGTTGTGTTCGAGGGCTCTGTAACTTGCCGATTCGCCGCTGGACGAGATCGAGAAGTTTATCAGGTCAGGTGAGCGCCAGGTGTTTACGCTCGACGCTGCACCGAAACTTTCTGTCAGGCCCAATTCGTTCCTCTCCTCCTTCTGTACTTTCTCCTTTGCTCTCCTCCTCGCGGAGGGTGTTCCAGCGTGGGCACGCGATCCGCGAATTTTCTTCGAGATAGAGAAACTTACAAGGGAATTGTGAAAAGTGTTCAGTGACAAAGTGTATCGATGTTAAAATGGTAACCTGGAACACCCCGTAGGCAAGAGAGTGAAAAGAGAGTACCGCGAGGCGTGACATGCAGAAGGGAGGCCGCGGGCGTTTGGGTCCGTTGGATTCCGATTATGGTCGGGCGTTAAAGTTCGTAAGAGGCCGAAGGGAAGTCCCCTTCCTGCTCGTAATGAATCGAAATAATTGCCTGGGCATCGTCATGCTCGCTGCGTATTTTGTAACGAGCACGTGCAAAGAGGAAGTGGTAATAAATGGACGCGTATATCGCGAGAAAAAAAGGAAAAGGGAGGAAGAAAGGGGAGAATCGCAATGTTGGTTGATTTTACTAAGTGAAACAGAACGAAAATTCCACGGTTTCGAACAGAAATACATAAAATACGAGTATTTTATCGGCGAAGCATCGTTGATTACGACGCGTGTTAACGCGCCTAATGATTCTCGTTTAATTACGATCGAATCGGTGGGGTGGGGTAGACGGTGCGTTCTCACGAAGTTTGCGGGGGTTTTCTCATGCCGTCCGGATATTCTCATCGTCGTCGTTCTTAATTAGCACGTCCCTGGCATTGCTGGATGGCGATTAAAAAGAAGAAGAAGAAGAGCAAAGAAAAAGGAGTCAGAGATTCCTCGGCGATTTCTCGAATCGACTGTGTACGTCGTGGCATAACGACGTTTTAATTACCCCGCAACTTACACGTCTTATCCCGGGTGAAACTGAAGAAAACTGTCCTTTCCGATGGAACAGCTTGATATAATCACCGGGATGGAGATTAGGCAAATGATTGCAGAAGCTCGTGTAGACACCTGAATTTCTGTAACTGAGTCACGAAACTGACAACGAGGAAGCTGTGCGGTATAGCTGCTCCTCTGTCCTCCTTTCAGGAACAGGTTTCGCGGGACTTTTGCAAGCAACAAATGCGGCAACACCAACGTGGTGAATAGATCCTCCGTTAGAGATACACGGAGAGAGGCGAGAGTGGAAAAATGGCGTAAAAGTCGGTGGCAAAGTTCGAGATACCGAACGAAGTCACGGATGCATGGGAAAAGAGGCACACGTGCGTGGATGCGGAAAATTAATTCGACGGATGTGACGTCATGGATCGGTACTCGCGTTTCCTGTGGGAGTCTTCTGAGAAACCTGTACATACATTCGTATACGTTCTACAAAAAGATCCTTTTCGTTTTACCCCCGTTTCGATTTGTACCTTGGTTAAAACAGATCGTTCACTCGGTGTCACAAATATTCCTAATACAGCATCTGTTTTATCAGCTCTTAAGATCTATCTTGAGAAATAGTTTCCGATCTATATACACGGCCTGGCAAAAAAGAAACGGTTCTCTTTGTGGCCCCAGAGGATCGTCGCGGTTCCCATGGGCCCGGAGTTCCGAAGAAAAAGAGAGAAATTCTCTCATGAGGCGCCACTAGGAGGAGGACGATGCTTGCCAGGTGTTTTGGAGGTAGCCTCCCCATTCTCTACCTTTCCCTCCTTCTTTCAGGGACCGTTTCGGCTATGCTCCTTCCCCCCCCCCTCTCTCTCTCTCTCTTTCTTTCTTTCGAATGGTTTTCTCGTCTCGTTCCAACGCTACGTCGAGAAACCCGACTACTCTTGGTCCCTCTACTTCTCTCTTTCCTACACCGTTCTTCTTCTTGCTTCTTCGCTGCTCTTTGGCTACCTCTCCTTTTTCTATAGTGCCTCTCCTTTTTACCACCTGGCAGAACAGCAGCTGGTAGCGCAAAGAGATCCCTCGAAGGGGATAAAGGGCCTTCCTATCGTCCTTAGGGAACCCCGAGGAACCACCTACCGGTCGCTAAATACTCTCGACTAAACAGACTTCCTGGCTGACGTTCGTGTCTTCTCTAATCGCTGGGAAAATGTTTGTACACTATGACACGTGTCTTTCTCATTAGCGTCTATCTCTGACCACACAATTTTTTCACAAAAAATCGACCCATCGTTTAACGATCCTTTTAACGATTGTCTTATACCTTGCTTTTTTTTAACCCTAACTGGACACAGTTTCAAACCCGGAAGACTCGACGAGTATAATCCTAACGATCCTTTCACTCCAAAAATATATCCAAGCTTCCGCTAAAAATCCGGAGCAAAAAAAAAAGATTCCGTACAGTTTCATTCCCATGTAATTTTCAAGGTGTCACGGTAGAAGTCGATCCGGTTCTCACGTGTCCAGATCTCGAGGGGGGTTGGTTACGCGCAATTATGCTCGCCGACTCGTTACAGCTCATCGTGGTCGACTATACGAGCGTGTATACGGAATAATAATGTAAACGCTCGTGTCAAGGTCCATAGACTATACGTCGATTTTCTCCACGATCTTAACGATCCACGCTTGTTTAATGCTTCGATCGTTCCTTACGCTAGATATCTACGCCTCGTTTCCCCTGCTAATCACTGTGAATTCACTTTCGTTTCTTTCGTTCGCCGGAATACCAGCGAGTATTCCACGCAGAACCGATCTGAACGATTCTCCGCGATCGAGGAATAATCCTGGTTTCCACGGAAGCTTTCGCGGGATTTTTTTGCGAATCGGGAGCCACGGAAGCTTCTACGAACCAGTTTGGCGCCACCATTGGTGCCAAATCACGTCTGTTTCGCGAGCCTTGCCTCGAGCATCAGGCCAAGTCGAGATGAATTATTTTTTTTCTGCTAGTAGCGTGTTGATTTTAATCAGCGTAATAATCGCCGACCATTAATAACCGTGGCTAGAAGGGTTTTGTTTTTTCTTTTTCTCTCTCGATTCGACGAGTTTACGCGAGAGAAAGAAGCTGCACGTTGGAATGGTACAAGTAGTCAGTTTCAGAAGAGGATCGTGAATACGCTTATTAAGCATGAAAGAGGCTTCGAAAGCGGCGGTAAAAAGAGAACGACCTACGAACTCCGGTTCATGGTTGCACAATGAGTGTACGCGTCGCCAGACTAATCTTAATCCGTGAAATATTCTCCTCGCTCGGTTCAAATCTCGCCTTCTTCTTCCTCGTGGAGAGAGATAGTTTGCTTCTTGATCGAGATAAAGTGGTGGTGTGGTACGAGAGGAAAAGTCGCGTGATTTACGCACGGTAACGCTGTCGGTGGAGAAATTTTTCAAGTCGTAAACACATCGACACCTTTCCAAATACGTTGTACCGTTTACCATTTCTAATATATCCCCGATAAATTCGACAAGAAGGTATTTTTCACGGCGAGACTCGCGGGAAGGATACGTAGAACGATATCCCGAAGACTAAGTCGGTTCGAAAAGGAACAAAAACAGGTTAGCCAGGGCTAAAAAGAGAGGAAGAGGACATGTCGAAGATAATGAGAAAAAAATCATGGCAAAATGGTGGGAGAGTGTATGCGTTCGTCTATAAGGTCGGTCGGGGCCTGTTTGGACCACGAGATGGACGGATTGCAGATTGCCTGCATTTCAGATTCACTTTGCGAAACGTGCCTCCTCCCTGCCTGTAATAAATTACGATCGTAATCGTCGTACGTGCACATCCCGTCCTCTCGCTGTGAATAACTTGGCGATCGTTGTATTTTCTGGAGCTTTGTTCTTCCTCAAATCATCCCTCTCGCTATTACTTCTTCTCTTTAATTCATCTCTTTCTTTTTTTCTTCCTTTAATATCCACTCCTTGTGACTGTTTCTTAACACATGTTCGAGAGATCCCAGGAGCGGAAGGTATCACGTGTCGGTCGATTCATCGGATCCCGGGACCACTTTTCATCTTTCTTTGCAACGATGCTCAAAGATTCGCGTAGCCTCCCCTCGCCAATGTCTGGAGGCCTTGACTGGGCCCCTTTGGAACCAACTCCTCTGGACACAACATACCTCTACGCCAAAGGGGCCTTCTCTTCTCTCTACACAGGTTCACGGTTCACGTGTGTTCGTCACACATTCAGTCACGCAACGTCTCGCTTCTACTCTTCTCCTCCTTTCTTCTTCTTCTCCTTCTTCTCCTTCGTCTTCTTCTTCTTCGTCTTCTTCTCCTACTTCTTCAGCAGTATACCCTGCGTGTACACGCGTGTTCCTGTATCCACGTCGTACACATAGCCAGGCTGTACCACTGCCTGTGGCATTATTCCCCTGCAGGGTATGTATTCGCGTACACACGCGAATTTACATCAGACTGGTTTTCGTAGCCCCTGCTCCTACGGGAACACGCTTATTCAAATGTGTAACACCGATTATTGCTAACGGAACAGGATTAATGGGCCCGTGAACAGTGACAAATTGAAAAACCTGTATTAAGTTCTTCTCAACAAATAGAACCGAGTTCTTTGATTCTCCTCCTCCTGCTTCTTCTTCTTCTTCTTCTTCTTTCTTTCTTTTCCCTTGTAGATACTTTTATGCGAATTGGACGAGTCACGCGTTCGACAAGTGGATTCACGGGTTCGCCGGTGGATTTCGAATTCGTCAAGGTAGAAAGGGCGAGAGAAGGTGGATCGAAGTGAGGCCTGTTCGAACAGAAAGGCCTCGCTGCCCTCGCCGGACGTAAATTTATCACGACTTTATCTCGACCGCTGGAACGACGTTCGTTAATTTTCTACCAGCCGTTCAGACTCCACTCCTCTTCGAACCTGCGTTCATCGCCTCGCGTTTTGCCCATTTCTTTTCCTTTTATTTCCATTTTTTCTGCCCTTCGTCCCCGTCGACGAGGATCGAGTAAATCGAGCCGAAAATTCTGACGTTCTTTCTCTTTCATTTCTTCTTGCCGCCGCGCCTCGGTAGTTTAGATTTCGAGTAATTGCCAATCCGCCCTCACTCGGCCATTTAGCCGGACGTTGGAATCTTTATAAAGAATCGTAAATAGATATGACACCCGGCAGGGATGGGTATAAATTGAATTAAGATTAGGAATTCGAAGAAATCGTGGCGGAGAGCAGGTTTCGATAACCAGTTTCTTTTTAATCCTCCGTGAATGCGTCTCTCTGAATGGGAACTCCGATACCTCCAAGTTTCTCCCACAAACCTATCTTTCCCCACGCTAATGTGTTGGTATTAATTTCGAAGCAAAGATACGGGGCCAATGAATAATCATCGAAAGGACGAAAAATTCTACCGACCAGAGGGAGAAGAAAATCTTCCGCGTTAATTAAACGAACCTCATTAATACGGATCGTGCGAGCGAAACCGAGCCGCGATCCCTTTTCAGAAGGATTTGGTCGTTCGCTCGAGAAGGTAGAGAGAGAGAAGAGAAGAGAAGAGATACCTTAACTCGCGATACCCCCGTAGTTTTTGTTTCTTCTTTTTCCCCTCATCCTTCTTTCAGCTTCGCAGGTCCTTCAGACTGCTGTTTCGACCACCCTTTCTACCGTGGCCGCCTTCTTAATCTTCCTTTAATTCCCTGGCTTTTCGTTTCTTTACCTCCTTTTTCACCACGGTTTCTTTCCCTCCTCCTCCCCTTCATCGTCGTCGTCGTCCGCTTTGTTGCTTCTCTCTTTCTGCTTTTTCTACTCTTTCTCGATCTCTTCCCTCCTCCCCCGCCTCCCTCGCTGATCCTTTTCTTCTCGAGCTCGATTCACGGCAACGAGAATTCCCGTCGATAGATCTTTCCAGCTGTCCCTTCCTCCGGCAGGGGGAAGAATCGTGAAAAACTCGCCGGTCCATTAAATCTTCGTCGCTCTCTCGCGAACGATCGCCCGAGGCGCGTCGCGGAACCACCTTTTTCTCATCCACTTCTCTCTCTCTCTCTCTCTCTCTCTCTCTATCGGTCTCCGTCTTAATTGATTCCCGAGGTAATCGATCGCACGGGAGTAAGAGAGGCAAGCGGCGAAGTAGAATCGTATATACGTAAGCAAGTACGTACGTACGTCGCGCGGCTCTCTCGAGAAATCGAGGCTCGTATTGCGATAAGAGGAAAACGAGTTCTTCCCACGCGATTAGCGCTCCGCGAGTTACTTGGAACTTTCCAGTTGAACGCTCGATTATTCTCACGCATCCTAATCGCCATTTCCCTATGCTAATTCCACGGCAGAATGAAATCACCCGACGTATATATATATATAGAATAAAATATGCAAGATACGCGCGGAAGAAACGGCGAATCGATCGGTAAGAAGGGTGACCAAAGATCTCGGGACTTATCGATCATAGGGGCGAATACCACGGAGACCAGTCCCCTCATCAATCACGAATGATTGAGATCGAACGGTGGAGAACTTACCAGGAGATTGACGGTGCCTGTGTGATCGTCCACCCAAGCCAACAGAATATCAGCCCCCTTCATGTGGTTCTTCTCGTTGAATCCGATCCCGACGTATCCCAAGGTCTTGGCGGTGACCTTGAAGGTGACCATCTCGTCGTCGGACGGATCCCACTCGAGGATCACCTCGCCGTCGTCGTCCAGCTTCTCATGCCTCGTGAACTTTGGTTCCTTGATGCTCCTTCTCGGTCTATTGTCCACGGTTTCATCGTGATCGTGATGCTTCGTGCCGCGTAACAGCTTGGCCAATTTATCCGTCGGCGGAATGTACTTCTTGGGTACCCTGTCCCGCGACTTTGGAATTCTCTTCAAGATGGGATCGTCGAACAGCCTTGGTCCCGCTGTGCCTGTCTCGCTGATCATCTCGAACTGAGAATTCCCCTCGATCTCGTCGTCTCCTTGGAAATCCATCGTTTCTGTAGTCTCTTCGCGTGATTCGACCGCTGAATCCTGATTCTCGATACTCTGCCGATCGGCAAGCACGGTATCGTCCGATCTCGATAATTCCTCCGTTGAAAATTCGACGTCGAACACGTCTACGGTATCGTTCATTTCCACAGACATCGTGCTCGTTTCTTCCGATTCTCTGTTCAATATTCCATTCGTATTGTTCACCAGCTCGTGTTGATCCGGGTCGAGATTCTCCTCCCTCGAATTCGGGAAGTCCAAACCGTCCTCTTTGTACGGGATCTTCCTTTTGGCCTTCCATTGCGCGTACCACTCTTTGTCAACGTCCAGACGCTGTTTCTTGAACGTACCCACTCTGAGCAACGGCTCTTCGTGAAGGCTCCTCTTTATCCTGAACGTAATATCTTTCGGATGATGCCTGTTCCTGTAGGCCAAGGTCCTCATGGTCTCGTCCATGTGCTGGACATACAGGTCTAATAAATCACACCTGGCTATCCAGCAGAGGCTTAACACCAGAATCAGCCTAAGTAGCAGCATCTTCCTCTTCTTCTTCGTTCTCTGGTCTCGCTGTGAACCTTCATACGACCGCTGGATTCGCGTTCTTCGTTAGTTGTTGCTCAACGATCTCGAAACCCATATGGGTACATACATACAACAGGCCTCCTTTTTCTATTCGATATGTTCACTCAAAATTGTTAATCATAATCACAGAGTAACGAGTAAAACTTTGATAGAAACGCTTCCTTTCGGATTCAAACTGTTTCCACGATTTACGGAGAACGTTTCACGCGTTTTTTATTTTTTTACAAGTGAAACAACGATCGAGCAGACGTCTGTTTACGTTGGACTACGTAATTTTCCTCACTGACTACGCTCTCTCGAAACACCGGACTCAGGAACGATTTCTCCGTACATGTTACGCGAACGACAGTTGTGCCGGGACTAATTTAAGCACGCGGCTGCTGTTGCCCCTGCAGATGCTTGCAGCTGCTTACCTGCGCCGGTCCCCTTCCTTGGGCCTTTCGTCAGGCTCGTAACTACTCCCTCCAGTCGCCCCCTCCGTCCTTTTTCATCGTCCTTTCCCGTAAACATTTACTCGGTAGGAAGGAAATTTTTCAGATAGGCTATTAAAGCGTTTCCACGGTATGCTCAAGGAGACGCCGCGAAGCCGACAAATGAGAGAGGCCTTTCGAAGAGGACACGCTGGAGAGAGGAAGAGGAAATCGTCGCACCATCTGAACGCTCCTCTCCTCTTAATAATAATTCCTCCTCTTCTACGACCGTTCTACGCTTGTTGGGAAAACGTACTGTATTCCAGAGACTCGAAAACAATCGTTCGATGGAACGTTGGTATTTCACCGAATCAAACCTCGTCCAACTGCCTATTTCAACTTGCGTATCTCTCCCTGATATTTTTTCTCACTTGGGGTCAGTATCGCGCGGAGCTCGACGGAAGAATCTTCTTCTTCGAGTTAGGCTTCGTTTCGAAACGGAAAGATCTGGTACTGCTTCCTGCGGAAGCCTTTTTTTCTGAAACCGGAGACGCATTTATCAGCGGTGGTGTTCCAGAAAGAAACCGAGGGGCTGCGAAAACAACTGCGGCAGATGTGAACTCTTGGCACGCGCCCTTCTGTTCGTCAGTGGCTCTCACCCTAGGTCGTTTCAGGATCGTAGAATGTGAAAATTGGACGAAAAACGTGTACCAAATTTCACGATACCGTTCATTCCGATCGATTGCTAAGCGTCCGCACGCGCGTTCGGAAGCCAACTGTATCGCGTTACTTCCTGTATAATAACCGACATCGAAACTTTATACTCCACAGAGGAAGGCTCACTGGTCCTATTCATTCGTGAACGGATTCGACATGCTTCGATACGAAGGTATCCAATCTTCCTTCGTATACTATCTATCTCGCGTATAAAGCATCTGCCACTTCGGTATCGTTCTTTTTCGGCAATCGACCCAGAAGAAACCACAAATCGAAGGAATTATCTGGGAAACCAGTTTGGCCAGAGAAGGACGGCGAGGTTAAGCAGGAAATCGGCGAAGGAATCGATTTTCCTCGAAATTTTTCCGTCGGTCAGGTTCTATTGGACTTATTCTACCTTTATGCGAAAAGATGCATTCGTACAGACGCAACCGTCGTCCCGCGTAGACTGCTTTTCTTTCTTTCTATGGCATTGTTCGCGAGGAATCCAAGGATCGATTGGGATTCGTGGCAGAAAGGAACCTTTCCTTTTCTATAACGATAAATTGCGAATTCCTCGCCGACAAGGGGATGCAGAGGGATCGCGTGATTGTTCTTAGTACCAACGTTCATTTCTTCTCGTTCTAGAGATCTGGAAAAGTTTATGGAATAACCGACAAGCGACACCCCGTTTGTCCCACGTCTTCGTCGTCGTCGTCGTCGTCGTCGTCGCGAATCGAACTCTCGTTTGGCACACGGCTTAAGTATCGATGGAGATGGAGGTGGAACTCGTCTGCCACTTTGTATGCAGCTGGCGAATTTAGTCGTCGTCCTCCACGTGGATTATTTACCAGAGGAGACAGAGACACGGTATATCGGCTCGGAAATCTCAACGTCCTGGGAAAAACCGAAGCCTTGCGATATGTACCGAGCATAAGAAAACGTACACGACCAGTCATTTTTATCACAGGCACGAACTCCACGCCTCTGTTCACGATACCATAAGACAGTATCCATCGCGGATTCTGTGCTCGTTTGTCTTGTCTCGATTAACCATTCAATGGGAATCGCTTTTAGCCAAGGGTTTTACAGTTATTGTCACACCGGTCGATAACCACCGATTCGACCAAGTTGCTTCCTATTCACACTTTTCAGGATTTCACTAAGATAGCTTCGTTAGGATTCGGTTGAAAGATTGAACAAACCGGAAAGAGCCTCTGCTTGTGTCCTTTCGTTATTCCCTTATTCTGTTATTCCCTAACGCTTCTCTGTAGCTTCTTGAGGAGTTCTCCGCGAACTTAGCGATGCTCTAACTTCTCAAACTCGAAATCTGGTTCTTAGAGTCTCGTTCCCTATCGTCGTCTCATGGTGATATCGTCAACCCTAAAAATATCAGAAAAGGCATACGGTCACGGCGTTCACCTGTCGCGTGCCCAGATACACCTGCTAAGTAACTTTCCTTCGAGTTCTCGCCATCTGCTCGTTTTCGAGTTTCGGTGACCGATTGGCAGATGCGACATTGTAACGTATCGTTCCGTGGTTTTTCGTGAGAACGAATTTCGATGGAGTCACGAAATAGACGAACAATGATTTCAGAGTATTATTCCAGTCTTGCGCGCGGTATATCTTGCGAGACGTACGTGCACGCGTACGAGAGATGCGTTGGCATGCGAACTCGGCTAAATTGAGTCGGGAATTCCTGTGAATAAGGAACAATCTACCTCAAGGTTTCGTAAACTTAATCAGAATACGATCGAAAGAAAAGATTTTTCCTTCTTAGTCTTTTGCATCCTTTCTTTTAATTGCAAGGAAAGGTATTCGTAATTTTTGAATGTGAAAATGACAAGGTGATAGAAATTTTTTATTTTTATCGATTTAGGTTTAAAATGCAACGAGTATTGTTGTTGTGTTATATAGTTTAATAATGGAGAACAGTTTTTGGACACGAACCCTGGTAGTTAACTACGAAAACTGTTTTACCACAGCCAGAGAGCGACATGTCCGATTGTTATTGACTCGTAGCTTTCGATTAAATGGCAGCACCAGGAAAGAGATAGTAAATTAGGTTTCCGTTTGTAAACGAAAGTAATTGTACCGTGTGTTTTGTGATAAATTTAGGAAATTATCACGATAAATGTTACCGTAATAGAAACGCTTAAGCTTACGACAGTATTGTTTCGCTATTAAGTAGTATCGCTAATCATGGTTCGAAGTAGCGACAAGTAAGTGCAACGTTTCGTTTAGCAGTTTTTTTAGGTTAATTTTATTACCTTTCCTCTTGTGATCTACTAATTATTCAATCAACGCCAATTATACAACAGTTTACTTATCCTGTTGTTGGTATAGCGCGCAATTTAATTACCTCGTTTTACAGGGATAGGCATCACAGGAGGAGATCGAGATCGCGATCGCGATCTCGGTCCGCTACTCCGGAAAAAAAACGTCGGCGGTCTAGGAGTAGAGATAGGGATAGAGAAAGAGATAAGGGACGACACAGGGAAAGAAGAAGTCGTTCCAGAGATCGGGACAGGGACAGAAGAGATCGATCCGAGAGAGACAGAGATCGTGACAGGAAACGGTATAACATAATTATAAACGTTAATTATTTTCTGGATTTATATGTATGAAAAGATAGAGATTAATTGAATATTTCGGTACTATAATTCTCTTGGAGAGGTTTCCAGCTTGCAGAAGAAAATTCTATTATTTTACAGTGCTTGTTCTTAAGACTTTGTCAAAGTACATGTAACAATGGTATAATGTTTGTAACGTTGATTGTTCTCGGTATACTAGTGGAGACAGTAAAGAAAAGCGTCTTACAGGCTCAAAGTCTTCACGTTCAGGCAAAGATCGGTCAAATAGATCAAGATCAAGAGAGAGGAAAGAGAAAGAGAAAGGTGATAGTGACGAGTTGCCATTTGATCATACTAAATTAGACAAGGTAATTTGTTCGGTAGAATTTATTGAGAAATCTTGCTTGAATTTGTTACTTTGATCTTCTTTCTACCTTTAGGAGGAGGAGCAGAAAAGATTAGAGCTGGAAATGCAAAAGAGAAGGGAAAGAATAGAGAGGTGGCGTGCAGAAAGGAAAAAGAAAGAGTTGGAGGCAACTAAGAAAGATGGTAAGGCATCCATTTTAGCAAATCTACAGCTGCCTATGAAAAAGTGGTCTCTGGAGGATGACAGTGATGAGGAGACTCCTGTTGTTCAGAATAGCAACAAGGAAGTGAAAGAAGATGGAGAGACGAAAGAGGAAGTGGAAGAAGTTAAGGAAGAAGCTAAAGGTGACGAAGAGGAAGTTGATCCCCTTGATGCCTTCATGGCAGAGGTATGCGTACCTGTCATCCTTCCCCGTAAAACAGTTGATTTAAAATATTTTTATCGATAGGTTCAAGAGGAAGTTCGGAAAGTGAACAAACTCGACAACAAAGGTGGAAAGAACGCTAATAATGGTACCGGCACAGGAGGTACTCAAAGTGGTGGTGTAGTTATCGTAACAGGCGTAGCCAAGAAAAAAGTGCAGAAACAGAAAGGGGAGTTGATCGAACAAAATCAAGATGGTCTTGAATATTCTAGCGAAGAAGAAGGAGAAAATCTTCACGAAACAGCCGCCGGTATCGCGAACAAACAGAAACGAGAATTGGCAAAAGTAGATCACGCGACGACAGAGTATCAGCCATTTAGAAAATCATTTTACGTCGAAGTGCCTGAAATCGCGAGAATGACACCAGAAGAAGTGGAAGCATACAAGGAAGAATTAGAAGGTATTCGCGTGAAAGGTAAAGGCTGCCCGAAACCGATAAAATCATGGGCGCAGTGTGGAGTCACCAAGAAGGAATTGGAAGTTTTAAAGAAACTCGGTTACGAAAAGCCAACTCCCATTCAGTGTCAAGCCATTCCAGCAATTATGTCTGGTCGCGATTTGATAGGAATAGCAAAGACAGGAAGCGGGAAAACATTGGCGTTTCTGTTACCGATGTTTAGGCATATTCTTGATCAACCACCTCTGGCAGATGGCGATGGCCCAATAGCATTGATCATGACACCGACCAGAGAATTATGCATGCAAATTGGAAGAGATTCGAAAAAATTCACCAAGTCTCTAGGGCTCTCTCACGTATGCGTCTACGGTGGTACCGGTATATCTGAACAAATAGCTGAATTAAAGAGAGGTGCTGAAATAATCGTCTGTACACCGGGTAGGATGATCGATATGCTCGCCGCAAATAGCGGAAGGGTGACAAATCTACGCAGAGTAACTTACGTAGTTCTTGACGAAGCGGATAGAATGTTCGACATGGGTTTCGAGCCTCAGGTGATGCGCATCATGGAAAACGTTCGACCAGATCGACAAACTGTACTATTCAGTGCAACATTCCCTCGACAAATGGAAGCATTAGCGAGAAGAATTTTAACTAGACCTGTGGAAGTTCAAGTTGGAGGACGATCTATTGTTTGCAAGGATGTTGAACAGCACGTGGTAGTTCTCGAAGAGGACCAGAAGTTTTATAAATTACTTGAAATTCTTGGTCACTATCAGGACAAAGGTTCTGCTATAATATTCGTAGACAAGCAAGAGAACGCTGACACTCTGTTGAAAGACCTCATGAAAGCCTCCTATTCCTGCATGTCACTTCACGGTGGTATCGATCAGTGCGACAGAGACTCGACGATATTGGACTTCAAAGCGGGCAGAACGAAATTACTAGTCGCCACCTCGGTCGCTGCTAGAGGTTTGGATGTAAAACATCTCGTACTCGTAGTAAATTATGATTGTCCGAATCATTACGAAGATTACGTGCACAGATGTGGAAGAACAGGAAGGGCTGGAAACAAGGGGTATGTACTCACGTACTTTGTGAAATATTTTCATCGTTATAACATTAAAAAAAATTGAGTAATATTGTTTTTACAGGTACGCATACACTTTCATCACATCAGAGCAAGAACGTTACGCTGGCGATATTCTACGTGCCCACGAATTAGCTGGAGTTCCTGTTCCTGAACCGTTGCGCCAACTTTGGGAAGGGTATAAAGCCAGACAAGCAGCAGACGGTAAAAAAGTCCACACCGGAGGTGGTTTCAGTGGTAAAGGCTTCAAGTTCGACGAGTCGGAGGCAGCTTTAGCAAACGAGAAGAAGAAATTCCAGAAAGCAGCCTTAGGATTACAAGATTCCGACGACGAAGACATAGAGAACGATATCGATCAACAGATAGAGAGTATGTTAGCACCAAAGAGAACTGTCCGCGAGATTGCCAGACCTTCTGCCACCAACATCGCGGTTCCTGGTCAACCTGTACCTAGTGCAACGGACAAATTAGAATTAGCTAGGCGATTGGCGTCCAAGATCAACATAGCAAAGAACTTGGGAGCTGAAGCAAAGGGTGCGACGCAGCAAGCAGCAGAAGCCATACTCAAGGGTGCTGGTCCTACCAATCTCATAACAGCTAAGACAGTTGCTGAACAATTGGCCGCCAAGCTGAATACCAAATTGAACTACCAGCCTCGCGAGGAGGATCTCGTGGAAAGCGACGCAGAAGCTGGTGAACAGACGTTCCGTAAATACGAGGAGGAATTGGAGATCAATGATTTCCCACAGCAGGCTAGGTGGCGCGTCACCAGCAAAGAAGCTCTTGCACAAATCTCCGAATATTCCGAGGCTGGTCTGACAGTCAGAGGAACTTACATTGCACCCGGTAAAGCTCCGCCAGAAGGTGAGAGGAAGTTGTATCTCGCTATCGAGTCTACCAGCGAACTAGCAGTTAGCAAGGCCAAAGCAGAAGTTTCGCGACTGATCAAGGAAGAACTGATTAAGTTACAGGCATCTGGTGCGCATACTGCGTCTCGTGGTCGATACAAGGTTTTGTAAAAAGGGAATGTTCGTTTTCGTTGTACATGTCAATCCTACGCGCTATGATATATTGATTTCAATGAAAAGCGTACGAGTAAAATTAGAAATTTATTAAACTTACAAATGTCTATACAAAAAAAACTTTGTATTTAACGGTACAATAACGTGCGATATTTGCTTAACACAATAATACGGGAGTATCGATTCAGTGATCGGAGAATCTGCGAGCGATCCAAATTTACAGACTTACACAAT